TTTTTAATTTTTACCCTCAAACATTAAATTTTTTTATTTTTACCCTCAATATTATAAATTGATATCAATGTAGACTTTGTGCCAAACTGTCATTTAGATTTTTATCTAAATTGAAGCACATGGGTTTAAATGCTTCGGGCATGAGAATGAAGTGTGTTTATCGTTGTACATTTTCATCTACGATTAATTTTGTATTGTTTTATGTATCAAAAATAAGATTTCGTTAACCAAACAGAGGCTAAATCTATCATGTGCAACTCATATGAGACGTTAATAGTCTGTGAATTTATATACAAGCTCATGATCGAAATACTTGCAACTTACGTGCTTCAATTTATGACGAAAAATTAAAGAACATTCTGAACAAGATCTACATTTCTATCAATACATAACATTGAGAGTATAAATTAAAAATTTTAATGTTTAAGGGTTAAGAATCGAAACATCATTCAAGATACAAAGTGACATTAATCCTAAAATCAATAAAAGCACAATAACACATAGGAATTGATTCTTGATATCTAGCTAAAACGATCCAGTTTGTGGTTGTTCATAAATAAATGCAAGAAGCTCAATCTGAACTCTGTTGTGTCAAATGTTTACTTTGTACCAACCACCAAGGAGGCGCTCTTTGCTTTTTTTGTTGAAGTCCAATTGGCTTTTATGACCTTTGAATGCTAGGGGGTTTTTTTCTTTTGGTTATGAGTCTTATGACCTTGATTCACGGCCATGTAGCTTTCAATTTTTAACTTTTCATCCAAACTATGACCCATTTTAGAACAAAGTACAGGCTTAGGACATGTATCATCAGTCACTATATTCGTGCACCTAAACTTATACTCTATACAAGTAACAAACACAGCCAAGAAGCATTGTTTGTCATGTTGCTTGCTTTGGGCTGAGCTTCTTATATGTTTGAAAATAGTTCGTAATTATGTTATTCGTTCGGACAATGAATTTTGACGGGAATAGATAGTGTTTCTAAGTGCATAGACAATGTAATACGACAATAATCTCCTTTTGTTGTATTGTATATGTTTTGTTTGGTGCCATTGAGCTTACAACTCTCATTGACAATTGGATAACATAGTTTGAAGCATCAATATGTCCCTCGAACGACTTATGAATTGAATTGATGTAATTTAAAATTCATAAGATTAAAATTAATTAACATTTTATGAATTCATAAAATGTTAATTAATTTTATGAAATTATATGTCGATTTAATGTAACTAAATATTAGATTGAGACCAATTCAGGAAAAAAAAAAGTTCGACTAGTCGTGATCAATCTTATTTAATTGGAACCACTAAAAATTTAGTTTGGTCTCAATTTTGGAGGGTCAAATGCATTAAATCGATCTTATATAGTCATGATCAATCCTAATTGAGTGAAATTACAAAAAAAAAAAAAAATTGGCATTGGGATCGATCTTAATTAATCATGATTGATCTTAATTAAGTGGAATTACAAAAAAAAAAAATTGGTATTAGGATCGATCATGACTATTAAATGTAATGTTATTACTTACAAATATAAAATTATTACCCTTGAAATTAAGTTATCATCTTTAAGGTGAGTTACAAACTCTTTAAGTAAGGTTATAACAATTAAAAGTAAAATTATAATATTTGAAAGTGAGGTTATATGGTAAAATTATTACATTTTAAATATGGAGTTATAACTATTTAAGGTTACGTTAAAATTAATAAAGATAAAAGTATCACAAAAAAATGTCGGCTGAGGTTACGGTGTATAGAAAAAACGATACAACTTTTATTGGCAAAGCTTTCACACATTTAATGAAAAAAATTGAAGGCCACTCATTTTATTCGGTACCTACAAAAAAAAGTGAGGGTGGTACCATAGCCTTCCTCTAGTTTGTTAGTCTATTTTTATTAGGGAAAATTTTAACCCCATCTCCTTTAGTTTATCATATCTTCAAATACATTCTTTAGTTTTTTAATTTTCAATGACACCCCTGTCAAATTAAAAATATTAAGTAAAATATAATTTTACTAAATTATCCATTATATATTTGAGGACAAACTTCATTCATACCTCTTCTAGATAAACATATATTCAATAAAACCTCTTCTAAATAAGTATGTTTTCAAATAGACCCCCTCTGTTTTCTAATTTTTTTAACGTAATTAAATTCGAACTGATTAAAATTCGATTCAAGCTAATTAAAATTTATTTTTTTACATATTAAAATTTGTACCAATTAAAAAATATTTTTTTTTACGTATTAGAATTTGGCTAATTAAAATTTTATTTGAGACAATTAAAAATTATTTTTAATCGACTCAAATCAAATTTTAATTAATTCACATTGAATTTTAATCAGCACAAATTTTAATATATAAAAATATGTGAATTTTAATTGACTTAAATTTTAATAAATATAATTTTAATCGACACAAATTTTAATAAATAAAAAAATATAAATTTTAATCGACTCGAAAGAGAATTTAATCGACGCTAACAACTTGGGTAGAGTTCAAATCGACTCAAATTTTAATATGTAAAAAACAAAATTAATAGGTCGACTTTTTTAAAAATTTACGAATTAGTAAATAACAAATTAGTATTTACTAACAAATTATTTACTAAAATTGTTATTTATAATTTTTTAAAAATTTTAATAGCTCAAATTTTAATAAAATTTTATGTAAAAAAATTACTTGAGATTATGTAGGGGCATTTTTGGTATTTTAGATGAATTTGTTTTGTTAAAAATAGTAGTTTAATGGTAGAGGATGTTAATGATGTTTAAATTAAACTAGAAAGGGTGTCATTGAAGATTCAAAAATTAGAGGGAATATTTTTGAAGATATGATAAACTAGAAAGGGTGTCATTAAAATTTTCTCTTTTCATTTTTATCATCAATAATGAATCCCAATAAATGACGATGATAACTAACAATTCAATTACAATAATAAATTGAGCCAATTATTAAATCAAATCATATTATTACTTTCAATTTATTGCTACTTTCCTTGTGAAATTCAAATGATATATTGAAATGGTTTTTGATAATATTCAATTTTTTATGTGTTTTATTATATAGATTAACTAGTTATTGCCTGTGCCTGAAGGCACAAAGTAATAAAAAAATGGTAAATAATAAACGTATTTGTAATTTATATCCAAAATCAAATCACAAACACAGAAAATAAATAAAAAAATTTAAGTATCAGTTTTATAATGGGTGTGAGAGGTTGATGATGGACAAATTAATTTGCACACCACTAGTCAAATTGTAGTATAAAATGCAGTAAGTAGAAAGAGAGAGAAAACATGATTTATAGTGGTTAGGTCAATACGACCTACGTCCACTTTGAATGGCTAGGTTCGCCAGAATTTTATTATCTTCGATGTGGATGGAGAACACCTGATTACAAATTTTGAGAGAATTATAATCAAATGAGTTTGATGTCCCCAAGTGTTGGGAAAACTTATAATTTATAGTGGCTTGACATAGTAATTGTATGACTAGTCTGACGGTCATAATGGCTTAAGACCGTTTGATAGTAATTAGGTAGCTGATTTGGCGGAGGCGATCTATCATCTTCTCAACGGGCGAGGTGTGACAGTTGGTGTGCTCTCCAAAGGACTTGTTCAAGGATGAAGAATGTTGACTCTCTCCAGGCTGCGAGGGTGAGGCTCCTAAATGCTCCCTTGGTTGTGAGGGTGAGGCTCTTGGATGCTCCCTTAGTGGCGTAGAGGAGGCTCTTGGATAACCCTTACTCCAAGGTGGTAGAGGAGGAGGCTCTTAAATGACCTTGTCTGCTCCTTGCTGATATAGTAGCTTCTCGAGCCTAATGAGCTTGACCGGGTTGAATTTGTTGGATCTCTTGGAGTCGAACTATAAACTCGGACAGAGCTTATAACACAAGTTGGGCCTTTGGGCTTGGGCCATCAGAGGTGGTGGTGGCAGTGGTGCTATTAGGAAATGGTGATGGTTGTGGTGGGTGACAATGACAGGGGTGGCGACGACAGTGGAGATAGTGACGACGGTGGCGATAAGGGTTGGGGGTGGTAGTGGGGTGAGGGGTAGAGGTAGTGGTAGAGTGATTTAAAACATAATTTTTTTTTTAAAGTATTTATGAGAAATAATTTCTAAAAGTATTTTTAAAAAGTCACTCAAAACACACCAATTAGGAGTCTATTTTTTCTATTAAATTTAAGGTGTCAATATTAGCCGTTAAATTAAATTTAAAGTAAAATTTAAAGCGATTTCAACCGCGAATAACAAAAATCATTTTATTTATCTTATAAAATTTAAATTGTAAAGTATTTTATTATATAGATAGATGATTACACTACGTAACACTGTTAACGAAGTGTAATTGTTACATATAATATTTTTTCTTTAAACATATTTAATTATTGGCCACATGTTGATTAGTATGTTTTAACGGCCCCATTACACACGTGGTCATGACCAATTCCACTCTAAATGACTGTGTGTGAATTTGATCAAATCAGAACCTTTCACAAGGAAAATTCAAAAGACGAACATGTAATTTAGGCAGCCCTTGACAAAGACTTGAGAGCATATAGAATTTTTTTTTTGTTTTTTTTGGATCAGATTTTTTTTTTTAAGGTTGAATATTCAATCAATAGCCATTGAATATTTGTCAAAACCCCACAAAACCACAAAGGCTCACACAAAAGGAAAAAAAAAATAAGCATAAGCATGGATGATCTATCTTCGACCGGAGTAGGAAAGAATTAATCGACGTGTGTATAAGATTATCCGGATACACTGACAGGTGAAATCAAAAAAAAATAAACCTTTGAGGCTTGAAGTGATGTTTCAAAAGCTATATAGGGAAAAGGTAAGTAATATAAAATAATAAAAAAAACTTACGGGGAGGTTTCTGATATTTCACCTTTTGACTTTTACTTTCCATCACTCTGGTGCTCTCTATTCAGCCCGAGGTCTGACTCGGCAATGATCTGCAACAAATTCTACGCACTTGCCATGTATCTCTGGCAACTCCACCCCGGTCAAAACAAGACACCCTCATTTCTCTATCTACGACCGTCTCTTTCTCTCTCTACAACCATTCCTTTCTCTCTCTAGGCATCCACTACAGCAACATAGCGCACAAGGTGAGTTTTGAACAGTTGAATTCTGTGTTATATTTCTATGTTATCTTTTTTATGTAACTGGGTGTTTCGTTGTTCTGAATTATGGGTACTCTTTAGATTTGTGTGGTTTGGGATTATGTCTTCTTGCTTGCTTGTCTGACTGGCCATCGGTATAGTAGTTCAGATCACTTGTTATTGTGAATTTCAGTGACTGCTGGTCAAAGGGTCGTTTATTTAATCGTCCATACATGTGACCACCCATTATTGAAGAAGATTAATGGAGAAAGTTTCAATTATTTTACTTTTGTTCTAATTGATGCTGATTTTTTTTTTTGGGGTAGGGTAATTAAATTGTTGTTGATGTTGCCTCTGTTGCATATTTAGATTGAGAAACTAAGGGGAACAACAGAGAGGAGATTTTTTTAATCCCCTTTTTGGTTGATTTTTTTTTCCTTCCAAATAACTTGTCATTATTATTGATTCAGCATAAGATCTCCTCCCCTTTGAAGTTTCTGGTGATTTCTAGTTCCCCCCTATATAGACTAACCTCAAAATAAACGCGTTCACTAATTTCTAACCTTTTGTCTCTTGCTTTGTCCCGTGGGGGTTGTCTTCAAGTGAAAGGGAAGAGGGCTCAAAGATGCTTCTTTGTTGTCTTTTCCAATGGAATTTGCAGAAAATTGTCTTAATTTGGATTTTTTTACATATGTATATTTTTTTTTTGTGTTTTTGTGAAAGGGGATGATTGTCTCTTTGTAGTTTTATTTTGTTTTAAATTCTCTAGGGGACTTTTGAGGAATTTTCAATGGATTATTCAAAAACCTATCTTAAAATGATGGCGTCACGAAAATGAGGCTTTAGCTTTTGATGACTTCATGGTGTATCAACTTTAGTGGGATACTTGATGGGTGTGATATCACCTCAGTGGTGTCTAATTGTTGTGATTAGATGTTTTGTTATCACTACTTGTGTGTAATGCAGTTAGTGGTGGGAAGAAAAATTTATTTACTTTTTATGTCTATTTGTACTTTGGTGTGGAACATTTGTTGCTTCTAGGGGAATCCTATCTTCCCAATACATTCTCCCTCTCCTACAATACAATGATATACTCTTGCATTCAGGAAGAAATGATTCCTTCTGCTCGTGTATAAAATGTTTCAAGTCTATTAAGTAATGAGGTCTTTAAGTATGTAATTATACGGAGTGCGTGAGGTATATTTAAGAATCTTTATGGATGATATTACAAGAACCAAAGAGGCAAGGATCAAAATTTTGTTTTGGTCACCTAGAAAAAGGAAACGTTTCGACGTATTTTGAAAACGTTTTGACCCGTTTTGAAAATAAAATAAAAAAATAAAAAATTTAAGAATTATTTTTCTAAAACATTGATCGAAATATACCAAATTATCTTGAAACATCTTTAAAACAAGTACGCAAATGCATTAAAACATTACAAAATACGTTGAAGCATTATGCAACACCTCAACATATTAGAATTTGGATTCCATCATTGATTCGTTTCAGTCTCTTTATAAATAGAAACGTTTCAAAACGAAATTTTGATACTTGACAAGAACCTAGATATATCCACCAAACATTGTCATGACCAGCAATGCCTTAATTGTGTGTTAGAAAAGCAAAACTCATTGAGGCCAACATAACATCTGTTTAGCAAAGATTTGGACACTAATAACACATCTTAATACATAATTGATAGGTTGGTATTATTTTTGTTCTCGTAATGGACTTTGTTGATTTGAGTGATGAACTTGAATCCTTTTCTTTTCATTTTTGAATGTTATCCATATTGGAAGTTTAGTTAGTGTACGGTAAATTTTTCACCATGATTTCCAACATGAAAATATGTTCTCCCAGTCTCTTGGCCAAGGCCAATTATTGGTGAAATTTCATGATAACGTGTTTCTGTTTCTGTTTAATTGTCAACTGGACAGGACAGGAGTTTGATGTGATTTGAAGTTCTAGTCAGCTTAAACATGAAGGTTATATTGTCTTGTGTTACTGCCTGTTTTACAAAAAAGGCAGCTTCTCCAATTAAGCACACAGTAGACATTGAGGAAGGTACATGGCTGGATGGTTCTAATTTCCACCTCATAGCATGCATTCACACAAGTTTACACACATTTTGGCCCCATGCATAATATTGTGTGGTTTATAACTACATATTAACTTCAAAAGGTCTTAATCATGGATACAGAGGTTTCAAGCGTTGAGAATGTTATACGTTACAGTTACAAAGAGTTGCGAATTGCCACCAATGACTTTAGTATATCTAATAAAATTGGGGAAGGAGGTTTTGGTTCTGTCTACAAGGTAAGACATCTTCTTATTTCCTCATTTGTAATCTTTTCTAGCGTGAAACTATGAATGTTCATATATATAACTACACAATTGTTATACTTAGGGGAGGCTAAAAGATGGTACTTTGGCTGCTATAAAGGTGCTTTCTGCCGAGTCAAAGCAGGGTTTGCGGGAGTTCTTGACAGAGATAATGGTGATTTCAGATGTAGAGCATGAGAACCTGGTTAAGCTGTATGGTTGTTGTGCCGAAGAAAACCATAGAATGTTGGTGTATGGCTATCTTGAAAATAACAGCCTTGCTCAAACTCTTCTTGGTAATTGTTGGGTTATTACTATGGTAGTTGTAATTCATTTGTTGTCTATATGATGACTTTTATTACCTTTACTTATAGGGGATGGGCACAGTAGCATTCAATTTAGTTGGAAAACACGGACTAGAATTTGCATTGGAGTTGCACGGGGACTTGCATATCTTCACGAGGAAGTCCGGCCTCATATTGTTCACAGAGACATCAAGGCAAGCAATGTTCTCCTGGACAAAGACCTCACTCCCAAGATTTCAGATTTTGGTCTCGCAAAACTTTTCCCTGCTAACCTGACTCATATTAGCACACGTGTCGCTGGAACAGTGTAAGTTTATGAATTTATGCTGTGGTACTAATTTATGATGAATTTCAAAATGGGGATTTGTAATCTATTATGTGTGCCATGAAAATTCAACATATTTGTAGTTTAAACTGGGCTGGAGTTGAACCAATTAATGGTCCCAATAAGAGGTCTATTGCCTAAAAACAACCTAAACCACATCAACCTTGATTTCTTCCTTGATGAAATGACCAACTTAAATCCCACACCAAAAAAAAGACAAAAAAGAAAACTGACTGATGCACTATATGCACTTTCCAAATTAAAGGTGTACAGACTGTGAGAAAGCCTGTTCCATCGTGCAATTAAATTGGTTGGTTTGTTAATTAAGTCCAATTAAATGTCTATCCCTGGACCTGTTTGACATGAAATAATATTTGATAGGGGGTAGACCATGGATATGAAGTCCTGCCTGTGCTGGGAATGGCCAATGAGTTTTTATCTTTTACTTTTGTTTTCTTAATTAAGTTACCAGTTTTTATTTGGGTGTATTGTATGATTGAATGTCTATTTACGTTTTTATCCTTGTAGAGGCTATTTAGCCCCTGAGTATGCCATACGAGGCCAGTTAACGAGGAAAGCAGATGTTTATAGTTTTGGTATTCTACTCTTGGAAATTGTTAGTGGACGTTGCAACACAAACAAGCAGTTAGCAGTTGACAAACAATATCTTCTTGAAAGGGTATGGAGTTCTTGAACCCGCAATTTCCTTTACTGTTCCTTTATGGTTGAACTGTAGTCTTGTTTGACATGTGGAGCTCAGAATACCGAATTGCTTTGGATAAAACATGCAGAGCAGATCAAGAGTCTCTCTTTGTACCTAAGCCATACAAATTGTAATATAAGAAAACCATTGAAAGTTATATTTGTAGAAGTATTAAAACTGCAACATAGCAACTATTTTATCTGAGTAGATGGATTTTGATCCTTGGTGGTGCTCCCAGGGTGTGATTGTTCTCGTCATAACTTATATACACCAAACAAATCTTCCAGGAAGTACTGTAGATCTCCCCATTTTCTTGGATGCATGTGTATGTATATTAGTTCAGGTGTTAAACTTCGATCGGAATTCACTTGGTCAGACATCATAAATCTGAGATCCACAAAAAGGGAATCTTTAGAGTATGGTGGAAATGTGTTGGTTTTATGAAGGAGGATTGCTTTGATACCAAAATATCAACTTTTGAGAATTGTGTATTCATCCTCGTACTTAGCACATATATGTTGAGTTCCAATAAGTTTTATTGTTGCAGTTTGTAGATGGTAGTGCTGGTTTGGTTCGAGACTGACTTTTATATTTAGCTGTGAAGTTAACTGGTTGGTTTGGACAAAGGGCTAAAAATTCCTATGTACATAACAAATTTGTTGTGTTAACTCGAAGCAACTTGCATTACTTACTTCAGTGGGTCGCTTAAATTCTTTGGCCTACAGTTAAAGTCCAATTTTTTTTCCTCTCTTACTTTACAACCTGAAACTTTTTGCAGGTATGGGAACTGTACGAGAGAGGGAAGCTGGTGGAATTGGTGGACTCATCATTGGAAGGGGAATATGATGTTGATGAGGCTTGCAGATTCTTGAAGATTGGTCTTCTTTGCACCCAAAACATGCCAAAGATCCGGCCATCAATGTCTAATGTGGTGAAGTTGCTAACGGGTGAGATGGAAGTGGATGACAATGCAATATCAGAGCCAGGCCTAATTTTTGAGCTAATGGGTCTGAGAAGCGAAAAGCATAATACATCAAATACATTATCTTCCGGCTTGGAGAACCTGAATAATTCCTCATCTTCAGGGAACACAAACACATCATATGCCACAATGACCTTCACGTCAATATATGACCGAAGTACTTAAGCTGTGAGATTGTCAAAGGTACTTCTGTTTCTTTTTTTCTCATTGGAATTTTTGAGCTGGTAATGTAATAAGGGCACACTTTCATGCCTCATGAAGATTAAATTGATTTACTGTGTTTTTGCAGATAGTTTGGTTGCGTGAATCTATCCTCTGGAATGGGGAGCAGCCAAGCCCAAAAGACGGATTGCAGTGTATCAGTGCAACCGACTCTATAGGATCAATTCAAGGATTTCATGAGATGAGTTTCTTTCATTTTTTCCCCCTTATCATTCGTGATTGTGCTTCCATTTTCTGCATGGCTGCCCTCGACGTGGTCAAGTTGAACAGAAAAATCATGTACAAAGTCGAAAGGAGCAAGTCAATCCCCAGGGACCATACAAGTATTCTTTCGATGTACATAGCTTTTGTGTATAAGGTGTAATTCTGTAGGAATTACTGGTAGATCTGACTTGCTAAAGGCCAAATGAATCGGAAACAAGCTGCTTTGTGTTGTCAAGCATAACTTTTTGGGATGTTGAATTTGCTGTAAGATTCTATTGGATAGAAAAGAGCTTCACAATATTCAATAAAAGGTACTAATGTTTCCTTTTCCTCTAATTCTAAACAAATTGTAGAAGGTGCAGACTGCATATTGTACATATGTTAAACAAGCGCCACCGGAAGGAATTTCAGTCTGCACCAACCTTACGAGCATATACTTGTTTTACATAACAGAAGCAAGTTCTGATGTTCTATACATTAAGCAATGACGGGAGTTTGGTGCACTGAGTACACTTTTTAAGCAAGTTCTATACAGTGCCACTATGGTATGCTTTATGTTACGCTGTTAGAATGGGATCTGTTCCATCCTGGTTCCAAGTATGTCCTTTTGGTTTAAGCTTCAAACTGGTTTGTATTCTTTACAAAATAAGTAAAATTCAGATACAAAATACCCTTATACTTGTGTTCTTGAGTACATTGATCGATGTTGGATCCATATCTACCCCTTTGGTTTCTTTGTATTCTATTTGGGTTGATGAGTGCTACTGATTGATCTTTCTGTACTAAGCACCAACAACAAAAAACTGATCTCATTTCGAAAGTTACATCATAGGAGGTATGATATTGATTGGTGCAATGCTTGATTCAGGCCAACATTGAAGTTGATGAAGCTTCTTGTGTTTTAAAGGTTATGCTCTCAATGACAGGTAGGGGTTTAATCGAGACAAGCTATTTGGGTTTGGTTCAGACTCAGCTCGGATTAGTTTGACTCGTGTAACTTGGCTCGATTAATATCCTTAAATTGACAGGGCTAATAATTAAGTTGAATTTGTCGAATTCGTTTTTTTAAATAAGTTTAAAAATTGTTAAAACTCGACTCGTTAATCAAACCGAATTTGAGTAGTTTGACTATTTTACATAATATATTCAAAAATGATCCAAGTTTGAGTCGAGCCTTATATGAGTCGGTCGGCCCGAATAAGTCGACTCTATTATCAACGTTATCAATGAGTTGAGCATTTGTTGCTCTGTTTCGTTTCTGTAATTCTGTATTCTTCAAGTTGGTAATGAAAATGCCAAACTCTACAACCAGGGAAAACAAAATGGGCCAAGTAGACCAGGGCAAGTATATTCTGGCATGACGAGCCCAGCCCAAAACATGCCTTTCACCCAGTCCCAAGCTCCACTATAAAGCCAAGCCACACGCTCCATTCCTTGAGCTTGTCTTCTCTTTCCTAGGATAAGGGTTTTCTCCCAGATAAGATTATTTTCTAGGGTTTTCAAATTATTCTCGCCGAAACTCCTTTGATGGATCTTATCAAAAAAAGAAAACTAGATGAGAATGGCGTCGTTCTGGTTGACCCCTCCGACGGCGGACCGAATAAACTCACTCTCGAAGACGCTCGCAAGATCATCGAGCCTTTCACTCAGGAACAACTCTTCGAGATCGTCCAAAACGCCGCCGTTAGGCACCTAGACGTACTCGACGCAGTTAGATCCATCGCTGACCGTGATCATACTCAGCGCAAGCTTTTCATCCGTGGTCTCGGCTGGGACACGACCACTGAGAAGCTCCGAGCTATCTTCTCCGCCTATGGTGAACTCGAAGAAGCTGTGGTGATTTTGGACAAGGCCACCGGAAAATCCAAAGGCTATGGTTTTATCACTTTCAAACACATAGATGGAGCTTTGTTGTCTTTGAAGGAGCCGAGCAAGAAAATCGACGGTCGAATGACTGTGACGCAATTGGCGTCGGCTGGGATGTCAGGTGGGCCCACGGGGAATTCGAATTCGCCGGATATTTCGTTGAGAAAGATTTATGTGGCGAATGTGCCGTACGACATGTCGCCGGACAGATTGTTGGTGCATTTTTCGATGTATGGAGAGATAGAGGAAGGGCCTTTAGGGTTTGATAAAGCCACCGGGAAGAGTAAAGGGTTTGCGCTTTTTGTGTATAAGACGCCAGAGGCAGCGAGGGCGTCTTTGGTGGATCCTATAAAGAATATTGATGGGCATCAGTTGAATTGTAAGTTGGCGATTGACGGAAAAAAGGGGAAAGTGGGTCCTGGGGGAGGTCAGGCGCCGACGGGGATTCCTGTGGAGGCCCACGGTGATGGGGTTGGATTGAACCAGCCGGCTTCTGTCCCAGGTTCGCAGTTTGGTGGTCCGGGTGGACTTGGGGGTTATGGTGGGTTTTCGGGAGGGTTGCAAGGGCCGTCTCCATTGGGTCAAGGTCATCATCCTCTGAATTCTTCTTTGGGTGGTCCAGGGTTGTCGTCCCTTGGTAGTCAAGGACAATCTACTTTGGGTATTAGTGGTGGGTTTGCTTCTGGGCTGGGTGGGCCTTACAGTGGCTCTCATTACGGGGGACCTGGTTCATCTGCTTATAGCGGATTGGGTAGTGCTGGTGGCGGGGTAGGTGGTGCTGGTCGTGGGTCTTCACTGTACGGGTTGCCGCCGAGCTCGGGTGGAATAACTTCTGGAGATTATCCTCAGAGTGCGCACTATAGTTTGTCATCGGCCGCTTACCAAAGCCAACATAACCAGGCGGCAGGTGCATCCCCGGTACCAAGAGTTCCACACGGAGGATTATACCAGGGCTTGGGCCCTTACTACTGAGGTACCTTTCCTTGTTCAACCCATTATTTCATTGTTTTTATGTTTTGTAGTTAGAATGCGCCTTTTTCTTGGCCTATTTTTTTTTTTTTGTTGGAGTTCATTTGTTCTTCTCTGTGCTGATTGCTGCCGACTTTTGTCATTTTTCTTGGTGTCATGGTATCTGTAGTGCTGCTTGTTAATTGATAATGTGTTTGTTTAGGTGATATGTATTTCCGTGGTTATTTTTGGCTGTGACTATGGTTGCACTTGTATTCTGTAATGGAGGTGATAGAAAAACCTATATATTCTTTGATGTTGTTTTGTCCATTGTGACACTAAATTGATGACGACTCTTTCTGGGTGTTTCTCATTGTGTCACTGAGTGTTATGTTTTTCATTGTGTCACTGAGTGTTATGTTTTGTTGGTTCTTTCTCTACTGCTGATCCTCTCACAGTCATTCTAATAGTATCAGCTCTAAAACCATTTAAACCAAATATTGGTATCTTCCTCTATTTCGTAATTATGTTGAAAAAGGTTATTGTTTTCTCAGATTTTTTTGAAGAGTGTGACAGTGTTGCTGTATAGGTTATTTTTGCAGTAAAAGGTCACTTCAGCAGTATGTATTCTTCTTGAAGGTAGTCTATATGCCTATTATAACACTCCTTATTTTTTGTTCAAGGCCGCATTTCATTGTTTTTTTTTTGTCATTGTGGTGGTTAATAGTTAATTGCATAGTTGAATATCTCCTGGGCCATATATTTGTGAATTGACGATTATATGGCAATAATTAACATTATCGTACTCACTAGTGACCTCAATGTTCTGCTCATACTTGGTGGCTTGGTGCACACTGAGGCAGTATAAGGCTATAAGCAGCTTCAAATAGTTCTTGCTAAATCATTTTATGAAATTAATAAATTTCTGTACTCAAATAATATTAAAGACTGTTTTGACGATAGCAAACCTGCTACCCATCCCAATAATCACTCTAGGTTGGTTTCTAGGCAATACAGGTGGAACTTCAATGTGTTTGAAATTGCGAGATAAGTAATTCTTGTGAAATTATTTTCTCTTTCTTAACAGGTGTCTACTTGATTATCATTTTTCTGATGTTGTGGTTAGCATATATAGTAATACTACTTGGCCTATTTAATCACATGAGCCTACTACTCAAATACTTTTGTAGAATGTACGTTGAAATTAGGCAGGGCGTAAGCATGCCATGAGTTAACAAAAGATGCAGTGCTACAAAATACAATGCATATCAATGATCTTGTGAATATGTACCCCCCTCCCATTCTTTCTTTGGGGTGGGAGGTTGGGGTATGTGGTGGAGCATTGCATGCTTGTATTTGTGATTGGTTTATTTGTGTGCCTTTTGTCGATTTTGAGTGTGCGGTTTTGTTTGAGGCAGTAATATAAGGCATAGCCGATGTAATCTGAGAAACCTGAACTTCTTAAGAGAGTGTGTATTTGTATGCAGACTGGGATGCAGGTTTTTTGAATTGAGTAATTGTTAGTGCTCTAGCACAGGCCCGCTGTTCAATTTGTTGATTTCCCATGTTGGGTTCATGGAATTTTGAAGAATTTGGTTGTCCCACTTGGTCTTCCTTGCTCCCAGCAATGATCTAGATATCATTGTGCAAGGGTAGATGTGTGAGCTGGACCTTACCATTGCCCTTTTATTTCTTTTTACCGACTTGATTTGTGCTATGATATACTGTGGTTCTATTCATATACATATTGCACGGTAAGTGATCTGTTAAAATTGCTGAGAGTTGCATTATTTCTGAGACATGAAACTTTTATCAAGCGATTGTATGTCCCTTCAACATCTCTTTGATTATTATATGAGCACTCAAATATTATATCTTGCTATATGCAGTACACTGGATTTTTTGATTTGATTTTAAAAACTGTGCTATGCCCCTAAATTTAGGTTCATTATTCTTTTGTCACTAGTGTGTGTTTCTTCTACTTACTGAGAAAAAATGTATCTCTTCCTGAATTTGTTCAGGTTGTTGGCGAGGACCTTGGATCGTATGTTTTGTTTTCTAGCTTTAGGTCATAACTATTTGTTGGTTTCCAGGGTAATGTATGTCTACTGCTAAATGTCCATATATTCTTAGATGGTTCCATTGCTCCTAAAATTCCTATTGATTCTTTCTCGGCCTCAATTATTTGGAATCAGGTGTTTCTGGTTGCTTTTCTTGCAATGTAGTATGTCTATCAATGCTAGATCTGAATCTTACCCGTAATGTATTCTATTTCAGTATGAATTATCTATACTCCTACACATCAGCAAAGCGTGTATTGTAATTATTTTTGTTTATGTCTTCTAATAATGCTTCCAAAAGGTTCTTGCTGCTTGTTGGTTCCTTCTATTCATATTCTGCTTTAATTTTGCATGAGCCTTGTTTTGTATGTTGTATGAGGAATGATGCATTAAGTTGTGAATGGATGTTTGATTCAGGTGTGTGACAGCTTGTTGGCGCAGTTGCTTTTTGTGGTTCTGGTGATTTCGTGAATGCAGACAATCTTAGCTCTGGCTTGATGAATTGATTAGCCGTACTCATCTGCGCCTTAAGATGTGGCCCTTTCTGATTGGTGGTAGTTAAAGTGCTAGTTAGACTAGTTTTATGTGTTTTGTCAGGAATCCGTATTTCCTTTGGAATGTTTTATTGTGAAATAAATTTGCTGTTATATGACTTGACAATATTCTGTGGTAAGATCTGGAAATGTGTTTGGTTGATGCTGCTGCTGTTGGTTTTTACTGGTTTTCATGTCCTGTGTTGTGGTTGGTGGACCTCTTCTATATAAGACTGGTCAATGTTTGATGTATCACATTAACACGCCCACACCTAGACCCATAACCAGACCTGCACCCAAAGAAACGCTGTAGTTAGCCATCTTCATACAGATAACTTTTCCCTGCCTCACCGGGCTTCTCGCCACCCTGCACCCCCACCAATCCCATCTCCCACACTAGCACAAACTCCCTCCCCCAATGCCACATTGCCGCCACCTACCATCATAGTCTCACACCTCAACTTAACCGCCCCTCTTCCCACACCACAACCCCCTCTCACCTCCACAGGCCGTGGGTCCACCCTTTAATTACTGGTTAACATGCTGATGTGAGCCTCCCACTCTCTCTCTTTCTCATCATCTCCTTGGATTCAGGGAGTAGTGAGTGACGTTGGAGTGGGGTAGGTTGGAGGAGCAGAGGGAATGCCGAGTTAGTGATGGAGAGGTGTGGTTTTGAGAGGAGTGTAGCTTGGGATAAGAGTTTGTGATACGTTTTTGTGATGGAGAGAGGTGTGGTTTTGAGAGAGAGTGTAGCTTGGGATAAGAGTTTGTGGTACGTTTTTGTCTATTCATGGCCTAGTTTTAGGGTTTGGTTTTTCCCCTTGTCTCGACGTGGTTAGTGAATATTTTGTGGGTTTTCAAATTTTGTTTCAGATTCCAAGTAGATTGGTAATGTGATATGGTTCTCATAGGAAGATGTGGCAGTGATGGAGATGACTAGGAAGAGTAGATGCTTCATTTTGGCCAGAGAGTTGGTGTTGAACACATCTGAGATATGAACACGCTAAAATGAATGTTTGATTTTTTTATTGTTAATTTTTTTTCAAGACATGTTGGGGACACTCGGCCGACACATTCTAGACACGTTGGGGACACTCGGCCGACACATTCTAGACACGCTGGTGACATGCGACCGACATGCTTGGGGGATATGTTTTGAGAGTTCTTTTTAAATTTTTGAGAACTTTTTAGATAACTTTATAATTATTTTTAATTTTTTGAGAACTTTTCAAATCATTTTACAATTAAGAGTTATTTTTGTAATTTTAAAGAGATACGAGTCAAAGTCATAATATAAAAAGAGTTATAATCATTACATTGAACATAAGACATGAATGTAACATAATTTTTTATACGAATACGAACTTATATACAAATAAAGTAAACTTTCGAAATGAAATTAATGTGAGAAAAAATGAGGTTACAAAATTGAGACTCTTTGAAATTGATAAAAATTAATATTACGAAGTGGAATATTTTTGAAAATAAAAGTTGTAATAATTATTGATTGTTGGATTATGGATGTTAATGAATGTGTATCGGTATATCTTATATTGTATTTTTTGTGCAGTGATATCATGATGCGAATTTTTAGAATTAGGGAAATGATGAATTAAAATATTTATTATGATAATATTTTTATTTTATCACACGATTTTCTATATACACACACACACGCACACATATTATTTAAACGTATTGCCAATGTGTTTGTATCCTATTTTTTTTGGAAAAATTTTGTGTCTACGTGTCCATGTGTCATATCCTTGTCTGTGCTTATTAGGGAGATGATGTTGGCGAAGGGTTGTTGTGAGGGTAGAGTGGGGTTAGAGGACTAAGCGGCATTAGTTGAGACAAAACTCAAGTGCAAATAACCACATGGCTGATGAGATATGTGCAGTTGGTTGCTTTATTAAGATATTCAGCTGGTGCTCTCTCTCTCTCTCTGGCACACACCCACACACACAATCACACAAGAATCTAGGAAGCATATTTAATACTATTGTGTCAGCAACCGTCACTTGCATAGGTTTTATCTCTAAATGTTGTTGGGTTGTGATTGGCAGAATGGATGGCTTTTCAAGGCTAATATTTCTACACATTATAGACTTGGTGGTGATTATATTTCCCCCTTTTGTGTGATATGCTCAGCAATTGATTGCTGCTTAATGAAGCTAAAAGGTCACTGAACTGCTGTTGTTCTTGTTTGTTACATTTTTATTGTAAAAATGTGCTATATGTGGTATGTCGTGTTTAGAATCCTTTCTGTTACATTCAGAGTTTTAAATTGCAAGTTACTTGGAATTTATACGAATTTGGTTGTGTTGGTTATTATAATTTTGACTCAATTATTTGTGAGGTACTATTAACCCTTATATATCTGTCTTTGTATATAGGAAATTCAATTTCTCGTCATCTTATTATTAAAGTTTTGTAAATGATTAGTTTTGGAATGCATCATAGAGATGGAAAGTTTTGTTGTTGCTTATCTGTGTGAATGTGCAAGAGCAGTGTAGAGTGGCATTATATGCAAGTTGCATTGAGGCTCCTATAGTTTGACTTGGAGGTCATTCTGTATGGAAAGTTAAATTCAATAATTTGACGGATTGGATGATAAGAGGTGTTCTTTGGTAATATGTAGTAAATATATCGGTAATTGTTGAATTGACCAAGTCTGGAGGTTGTTATGTCCATAGTTGTCTAGGATGCATAAAAGAAGTTGCTTTAAGGTGTGTGCTATAGTTGGAGGTTTATCTTCTAAAATGCTTGTGTATCTCTCTGAATTGTTGGGTTGAAATGCATTGAAGAAATAATGATTCAAGGGTGGAACTTTAAAAGGCAACTTGTGATTCCTTGGGTTGAGCATGGCAAGCATCTGCCTCTATTTTGCTCTCTTTGTGGCTTTTGTAATTTTGTAGTAGTGCTGGTATTTTGCTGAATTTGTTGAATCAAGTATAGATTTCAGTCCGGCGTCTGGGAAAAAAACACTCAAGTAACATACATTTATGATATGGATTGTTGATATAACCTCACCACATTTGGTACTTTGTAAAATATTGTGCGGAACATCTCCAGCGAACAGTTTTAACACTTTTTCAGCACCGAGTATATTCTCCGCCAACAACTTGAGTTTCATATTTGTCAGTCACATCATTTGCTATCATGCCTCGTTGTTTTTCCTTGCATGAGCTGCTCTTCAACTTTTGGCCCCTGCCACGGGAAATGCTACCTCCTGCAGCATGACAGGAGTTTGTGGAGTTGATCACAATTTTTAGCCTTCAACAGCATTGTGGAGAGTAACATTGTTTCGTATGTTTCCTTTTTTCGGGGTTGGGTGTGCTGTGGGTATTTTTTTGGTGGTGGGTTGTTGTGGTTTTTTTTTTGGGGAGAGAAGGGGGGGGGGGGGGGGGTTGTAGTACGAGATGGCAGGCACAATGAAGGGACGGGTTTTATTGTAAGAGTAAGGTTAAATGTAAACTGTATGATTAAGATGGTATTTGTTAAGTTACATTTGCTGTTTAAGGAACAAGTTTGATTTCAAATACATTTGCAATGTTCAAATTCAGTGTATGATGTAACAGAAGATGGAGTCGATCGAATTTGGATGTTCTAGATCTCAAATATATGCAATTTTTGTTTGCCAGGTATGTATGTGATAGCTCGTTAGTCAAAAAGAGGGGACCCAAACCCAGATGGGTAATTTAGTGCGTTGCCAATGCCAATTTAGTCATAGCCCGTGCACAACATGGGCATTAGGGCATTTCTAATCATTATTCAAATTTAGACTCAAATTTAAATTTGAGTAAAAAAGTCTAAAAAATTTGTTCTAACCTTTGATTCAAATATATACCAAATCAAGGAAAATTTATTTTTTTATTCAAATCAAGTGAGATTTAAATCTTTGCTCTTTAATGTTGAGATTTTATCATTTTTTAATGATTTAATGGTTATCTTTATTCTTTTCTAAATTTAGGTTTGTCCTCATTTAAATTTGGGTCTTTTTTTTTTTTAAATTTGAATTTATTCATTGGAGTCTTTTATATCAAATTAAGTGTTTTTTCAAATATTAATTTAAATTTTGGTAAAAATTTATGTCATAGTTGAAGATGCTTTTAGGAGGACAAGTTTAAGTACAATTTTAAATGCAAGAGAAATGAGGCATATAAGTGGATCGACTTATCCAATTTTCATTAAATTGTAATTACGCAAATATTTACTCTCATACAATACTTCAATCCCTTGACGAGATATTAAAACTTACCAGCTGATTATGGTTTAGATTTTGAGTTTTGAAGTTTATATAAAGGCAGGTGGTTGATTGTTATGTTAGTTTAGTTAAGTTAGTTCTCGAGATAAATAAATGTTTGATTCTATTAGTGGAGGTCTATAAAGGTGATTTCTAAGTGTTTTTCTTTGTCTCTATTTTTTTATTTAACCAGAGAAAAAAAGAAGATAAGATTGGTTGAAACTTTCCACAATGTAGTCTTTTCTTCCTTTCCAAAAGGTATAAACTTACACAGAGACTTGTTTAAAGTGAGTACACCCACTCCTTAGTGGTTCCTTCATATAAATATCAAAATTTTGTTGTGGTGTAATTTTAGTTAAGCTTGAAAATAAAAATATTTCAGAAATAAAATAGGAACAAAAAAAAGTTTAAAATTTTATTTTTAAAACATTGATCGAACTAATCGAAACATTCTGAAACATAGGAGAAAATACACAAAAATATAAGAATTTTGATATTTAATTAATAATTTATTTTAATTTCTGTAGAAACGGAAATATTCCGGACGTATCAACTGTTTCGAAAAGAAATTTAATTTTTTGTTTTATATTCTTGATCCATTTTTTGAAGGAAAAAAAAAATCCAATTTGATTCCCATTTCAAGAAATTCTATCCCATCAAAACAACCACCTACAATCAAGATTTTTTGGTGTGAAAATAACCAATTTGGAGATTGATATGTCTATGATCTCTAGTTTGACATTTTCATGGCTGGTAACAGTAGGTAGTTTTAAACTTGTTTGCTAATCTATCGTGATTTAATATAAAAACATGGTTTTAATTTATATTTTTTAAATTTAAAAACCGTGTTTTGTAAACTTATCCGTAATATTTTTTACACTTTAAATTAAATTAAAAATTATTTTTTTTCGAGTCACGACAAATTGGTGAAAAACTCTGTAGGATTTTAGGTAATGTGTTTGAGGTTTAAAATATTAGAATAAAAAAACTGTTAAATTTCATGCAAAGGTTATTGCAATGAAAAAGTTGTAATCATGTCATAAGAAAATTGTTTTTAAATATTTTATGATATATAAAAATGATTAAAAAATAAAGGAACCCTAAAGAACAGTAAAGAAAAAAGTAAAAAATAAATAACAATTAAATTAAAAAAAAGCCCAGAAAAACATAGGCCTCTCTTTCCAGCCTCAAATGGAAGTCTCCGAACAGTCCTAAGTCCACTCTACCTTGTGAAAAAAGTGTAAAAGATCAAACCATAATTAGGAAAAGGAAAATTTCACACACACACACGCGCGCGCGCAATATATATATATATATGTATTATATATATTAAACCCCGCTGTAGAACAGAGCATCGGACCACTACAAAAGCTTACCTGGGCCTTAGCTTTATTAACGCCGGCGGCTACTGGTTACCAGTGAGTCCTTCTTCTTCCCTTTTTTTTTTTTTTTTATTATGGTTCTAGTTTGGGCTTTTTCCCATGAACAATCACGATATTTAGGAACTCTAATTTGATGAATTATCGCAATTTGTCAAAAGGGTATGGTGTTTCTGTGGATAATTGACGGTTCTGATAATCTCTGTGTATGTATGTGTACTGATAGATACTTGAAAGTTTGTTTTGATATCAGAGTTCTACTTTGATCGATTTTACGTGTATGATCAGACTTGATTACTGGAGAAAAAATTAAAAAATTTCATCTTTATGCAATTTGAATAAAGTCCTGTGTTTTAGTAAGAAGCTTCAAATTTCACACCGGAAAGCAAAGAAAAAAGGATACTTGCACATTTGGTAATTGGGTAATAAACTGTTTTATGTGATGTGCTTGTTTCAGTAACTGTTGTTTGCTATGTTATCCTATAGTTAATACAGTTTTGTTGACAATATTCTTATAAACTTCTGAAGTCATGGCAATCTGATTTGATTGTTCACATTGAGCTATTCAGTGGAGTGAAATAATCCCATTCCGAATCATAACTTGGGATTTGTATGCGTGTTTCAGTGTGCGAGTGTGGAGGTGATGCTGCCATACTTGGCAGACATGATCTCTTAACACTATATGTAACTTGTGTATACATATGGTGCTGGCTCAAATTTTCACAAGTAAATATTGTTTCACTTTCTTTTTTTCTGTAAGTCTGTTCTGTTTAGCCTCTTATTTTATTTTTTTTTGTTACATTGTGGTTTTGCCTAATAGTGAGCTGCTGACCCTCTTTGACAATATTTATGTTTCATGACTGTCTTCTTTATCTTGAAGACACTCATTTGTTAGAAAAGGTAAGCAAGATTGTGTTTCCTATGATTGTCACTGTCTGGCTTCAATGTCTTTATGTTAAGCATGGTTTGAAAGACTCATATCAGTAGTCATCTTGGAGGGCCAAATACTGATGCGGTCTTGGGCAGCAGTAGGCAACAATACACTGCATAGAAAAATTGAAAATACAATATCATTTAAAAAATTAAGAAATGAGAATAGCAAGGTGGATCAATCATGTCATGTGAATGGAAAAACCACCTAGCACACATTATTTTCTAACTGTACTCTTGCTAGGACTCCACTGTTGTTTCAATTCTCTTAAGCTTCTATTTTTACAAAAAGTTCAAGAATATGTGAAGCTATTTCCAATGTTTTATATGTGAGCTGATTTCCATTTTATGGGCTTGTTTTGGGAGGCAGGTGGGCCGGCAGTGGGGGAGATGTTTACACTTTAGTGTTTCTATAAAGTCTGTTTGTTAGGATGTTATGTTGCCACAATGGAAACCCTCAATAATAAATTCTTATATGATTCTTGATAAATTCTTGTCTGAATGTGAACAGGTCGACAACACCATTGTGGATTATATGAAGGTCGAGGTGTCTTGATCTCTATTCCAGCAACACTAGTTTTCTTCATGATGGATTTCAAATTCATAGGTAAAACTTGGGTGGGCAACATTTACCAGAAGTTTGAAGCTATGTGCCATGAGGTTGATGATTTTGTGAGCCAGGTATTAGTGGCATTTATTTTATTTGTTTCTCTTTTTACTCCAAGTGCTTCTATTATAAGTTAGTCTTCCTACTCAATTCTGCAGAAGTGGGTGTTTCTTTTGGTAGTCACATTCCATGTAACGCACCCAATATGGATAACTATTTCATAGACAAGATGATTTTTATTCTCAAACCTGAGAATTCATCTTGTTTTCTGAATTGCTTTGTACAGGAGTCAGTTAAATATGCTGAGAATCAGGGGCTGGACTCGGCTAAATGCGTAGAGAAGCAGGAGCAGACTGTTGGTGAAAGTGTGAAAAGATTTTGTTCTGATGTTGTGGAAGGTCTACACCCTCCTCCTTTGGTGGATCCAGTAACACAGAATGTGCAAGAAGAGCCTGAGAAACAAAAAGATTCCATTGGGACCTGTAATAGGTCAATGATTAGTATCGAAGAAAAGCCTGTAGGTATTGACGTGAATAAATCATCTGGGGAGCAAGATCCAATTGAACCTTTAGAAAACCATCATTCATCACCTTGCACCATATTGGGCCCTGTAAAGCTCATCCCATTTCATACGGCAGGTTCCGCTAGAGCAGCAGTGTCTGAGTTATCTATGGAACAAGAAGATGATTCTTTAGTAAACAAAAATGCAGATGTGGTTTCTGGGGAAAATGTTGTGGAAGAGGAGCAATCTTCATGTGGAGAGTTAAGTTCTCCAGAAGATAAGGATTTGTCTGATGCGTCATCATCAAGTGAATCTGTAGATGAAAGTCATAAAAATGAGTTATTTATGAAGGTATCACCTGCAATGTCTGTTCATGGTGCAGGGCTCAGCTCATCCCAGAGAAACGCAACAATTTGTAATAGCTTTTCAGAGGTTGGGTGTGTTTCTAATGTTTCAACCAATCTTCAATCTTCTGAAATGGGGCTTTCAGTTATTGCTTGTGAGAAGAAAGTAGTGGAATCGGCACTTGCTTCTTCCAGCTTTTCCCTATCATTGGAATCGTGCAATCTGTCAGAATTTTCACATTCAACATTCTGTTCAGAATCAGAGAAAATCTGCAATAATCCTATTGATGGAAGTGGGTCTGTTTCCGATGTATCCAGTGCTCTCTCTTCTTCTGAATCTTTCCCAACAATAGCATTTGGCCGCAAAGTAGTGGATTTGGGACTTGCTTTCTCCGGCAGTATCTTGTCATTGGAATCAAATGGTGGGTATTTCATGTTTCTTGCATAACGAGAAATTACTTGGTCCCCCTGCCCCCACACACAACAACCCCCCCCCCCCCCTCCCCCTCCCCCAAGTCCCGGGCTGGGAATTCCCTTTCTTTGCTTTTCCATGTACGTCTATTAACTTCTTGTGTAGAAATATGGATGCATCCAGAACTAATGAGGAATTTTCTATAGCTGGATCATCTGGAATTAAGGATGATATGTGCTGCTCCTGCATTCAATTAGAGGCTTACATGTCTTCCTTGGAAATTGGTATGTCATGGGAAGACACAGTGTATATCTTCATTTCCCTGTTTATACATTTGAGATCTTAGTACTGTTTGTGTTTAGATGCTTTAATTTTTGTTTTTACAAAAGAGTAACATTAAAACTTTGATAACAATGAGTGCTTTTTTTTTTAATAGGCATTGATGATGAATTTTTTATGATGACTTGATTAATTTTGACTCTTCAATGCTTCGTCCAAAAATGTATACAGATATTCCTGGCTCTAGCGTGTTTTCAATTGATTGTGTGCTGTTTATCTAATCTTTTCGTATATTAAGATCAGTTAATAATATCAAGGCATGGATTCATTTCCTGGCATTAACTTCTTAGTTTATTTACCGTCATTTTGCCCTTTTCTTCTCACCAAATTAAGAAATAAATGAGTTGGTGAAAATTTCATATTTTTATCTATAATATTTTCCTTGCCTAACTTTGCTTTTGGACCTGTAAGAGAGGCTCGCCTCTGGGCATATGGCAAAGTGAACATTGTTCTCAGCTAGTTCTCCAACTATAATTCCTTGAACAGAGGTTTATTTCCTCTAGAGAAACAACTGAATGGGTCAATCGAACCAGTTTTGTGTTCCCCTAATCTTTTGCTTCAGACAATATGGGATGAGAGTCTGGTAGTCATGGATCAAAATTCAGATGAAGTTTGAAGTTGAAGAATGAGAGCTCACAAAAGACAATACCATCTAACTGTTTTTCTTACCCTACTAGATATACATGTACATAAAATTTATATGTTACAATCTTCTTTAGGTCTTCAGACTTGATTCTATTCTTATAGTGCCAGCCTTGGGCATGCCCTTATTTGTCATTGACCCAGGCAGAGGTGGGAATTGCTGTTATGTTATATGGTTGTCTTAGGGGGTGAGAGTCCCGTTGCTTTTCTTACAGACTGTAAAAAGTTGACCTCCCTCTGTTTATTTCGAAATCCAGTATAGACTTAACTTATGAAGCAATGTGGATCGAATGAATAGACCGATGAAATTTTACCTTCCTTATCTTAGTCACGGGTGGTAAAAGTATTCCCTTTTGATAGTTTTTTTGCCAATAGGGGTAGTCCTGTACTCCTGTTCACAATGGGTGTAGAACAGTTTTATATTGCACATTCTATAAATAAGCACAAGGGCTGGACATTTTCATACTTCGTCTTCGATTTATAGCACACATTCACTTCCATCTTTCGTATATAAAATTTTATAGCTTTTTGAGTATTGTTTGTTGGCATCTATATCTTAGCTGGGGCAAGTGAAAGGATTTCCTACGACTTTATGGAGCATTTGAGTTCACATAGATAAAACGCTAATCCTTCACTTACTCATAGCTGACCATTGAAGAGTGGGTCTTTGTGCTGTTGGAAATGTCACTTCATCTAAATTCATATCTTTGGTCTTGGAGGCTCGGTTATGATTTTGTGTATATATCTATTAAATGTGAAAGTGGAACTTCAGGCTATAGAAATTTCATTTTCTGTGGCTTAGTGGGAAATATTGGTTATGGTTATTACTCCTGTTTTAGAGTATATTAGATATATGTCCTACAAACTTCGACAAAAATTTTATATATTCTATATTAAGCATCTGAAACTGGTTACCCATCATGTCATGTCATGTCTTACACAAGCACATTAGTGGTTTGGATTTCTTCTGCTACTGCAGCAGTTATGTTTCGGTTTTTGTTTGCTGTTGCTTGTTCAGTTACAGTTGTGTAGGAATACATTTTTTTATTCTAGTAAATGCACGATTCATTTGATCGGTCACTTGCTCTGCTATTTTAATGACGTCCAGTTTGCGCCTTGGTGCTATCTATTCATTCTATTGCTTTACGCTGTGTGTTAACAAATTGCTGATTTTATAATGCTTTTTACAGGACAGGCAGATGACCCGAGTATTGATTTGAATGACCCTAGCATGGAAACAATTGACTTGTCTGAGAAAATGTCCCTTGGTGAAAGTTGTGTTATTGTGGACAGTCAATTACCCTATGCTGTCTCTTGCAGAGCAAGAAAACACAGATCATACAAGGTATTCTCTCTCTCCCCCTCCCCCCCCCCCCAAAAAAAAAAAATAAACCCAAAATAAAAAAAAAAAAAAAACCTACAAATGCAACACACACCCCAATAAAAGCAAAAACAAATTAAAAAAGGAAAAAAGACTAAGAAAAAGCAATCGTTGAAGCTGTCTTAGGTACTCTGCGAAAGTATTTCTTTTGTGAAAAAAGCGACCTGGATAAATCACTATCTCTCTGTTTGTATAATAAATTAGATAATGGTGTTTACGAAAACAAATTCTTCAATTTTACTCAGGCATTAGTAGAAAAAAATATCCTTCCCTAAAAGCAGTAATAGTTTTGTAAAATAGGCTGGATATGCATGCCCAACTTTCTTTGTTTTGTGCATTCTTTTCATAATAGCATTTTCATCAGTGATTTCTGTGCATCATTCAATAACATAGTACACGTAACTCTTTATGTCATGGTTATGTATTTTGTTTCTTTCCTCTAGAAAATTATACAAGATGCTTTTGCTTCGAGAAAGAGGTTGTCAAAGGAGTTCGAGCAGTTTGGAATTTGGTATGGAGACATTGATATAGAGTCCAGCCAGCAAGCACCACAAAATCTTTTATCCTCCATCCCCATTTCTTCTTTTGAGCCAAAGAAACCAGCAACTCATGATTTATGCGATTCAGAATGGGAGCTTCTATAACTGCTTAGCTTGTCTGTAGATAATTATGCACCCATGCTGGTTATGCAGCCGCTTTGCCTGTGCAGATGAATGTAGAAAGATGAACCTATTCAGAGATAGGAATTATTTCCTGTATTCGACTTTTAAAGAAGCTTTTGCGTTATTTAAATAATGCTCACGCTAATTTTCCTGTTTATTCAGAAGATGGAATGCATTATATGGGTATTACAAACAACCATAGTTGATATTATGGAATAATATATTCCATCTTGATGCTTATGCAATGTTTTTATCTGTCCATTCATTGCGTCTTTCCCCTTGCCCGAACCTTTCTGTTGGTTATTGTAGTGCTGTTATTGTTGCAGGTATCTACTACTGCAGGCTCTGTGGTGCAAGAAACCTTGCACCACATATTTGGCAATGGAAGACCATCTTTCTTCAATTACTTTGAAGTGGTCTTCTATATTTTTTTTGTATTTTTCATTTTGTAATTAAAATTTGCCAAATTTTCAGGTATGTGAATAGACAGATATGCCTCCTTTAACATGGTAAGCAAGGGCACTAAATCAGGTTTGCTCTCTTGAGGATAAGCCTGTTGTAAATATGCATACAAAATCTTATCCCAGGTATCTAGGATTCCTGGTAAATTCTGCTCTTTAGTAAAGAGCTTGCCTTTACATTCACTATAAACTGTGTATAACCATATTTCTAGAATTTTGATAATTGGGTAAGGTTTGGGAATGACAAAACGTCTGTAATTTATGCCTGCTTGGAGAGATTATTTTCACGATTCAAATTTATAATGCTCTAGTATTAGCGAATTTTTATCTCTACAGTTCTCTCAGCTGTAATTTGGCGATATTTAGTAGTTTTATTGATGTGTTTATTTATCCCGCAGAATCTTTCCATTACTTCCAAGATATTTGAAACTTTTGATTCAAAAGTATCTACTTTGATTGCAGATTTTTTCGTCCTAATCAATAAATGCGAGATACTTTTCAAAGTTGGGTGTATGATCGGGTTACAATCAAGTGCGTATAATGAAAGAAAACGAGCCAAATACGGCATGTATAACAAACAAACAACCCTACTAATAAAAGGGGATGGTCTTTATAATTGAATCAACAATCTTACATATCCTACAATGAAAAAAAATAAAAATGACAGGTTCAAAACCAAATAATCATAGGCATGTCAATCAAGTTAACCTGGCTATCTCTCAAAGTTTCTTTCTCTTCCTTTATTTTTTGACAATTTAGGAGAGTTTGAGTGAACTTGAGGGGAAAAAATATAAATAAAACTATTATAATTTTTTCTCAATAAATGGGCAAGATTTATTGTATTAAAATTAAACATTAAATCATTTGAAATTTAGATCACTTGAATCTCAATTTACAAAGTTTAAAAATATTAATTTACTCCTTAAAAGATATAAATACGTATTAATATGCACTTGAAATTAACTGTCATATATTTTGCCGTTAAAAATGTTTGAGTTAATTATAAATTGCACCCTTTAAAGTTTAAATATTTTACTTTATGATTCAAAAAGAATTTTATCTATTAATGCTCATTAAATAACTCTCAATTGTATCGTGTCATAACATTTTCGTATTGCATTTGAGTTAATATAAAAATATTTTTAACACAAAAATATATTTTCGTGTCTAGTGAATTGCATTGTATCATATATTTCACATTTATGACAATTCATATAATATTATTTATTTAAATTAAAAAATTCTTATTTTTTGCCCAAAATACTTGTTAAATAATTATTTTTGGAAAAATTTCAACCACACCCCTTCTACTTTACTATATCTTCAAGGACACCCCCTGTTAAAGAATGCAATTTTATTAAATTATCCATGATATATTTGAGGATAAATTTCATCCACACCCCCTCTAGATAAACATATCTTCAATGAGACCCCCTCTAGATAAGTATATTTTCAATGAGACTCCCGCTGTTTTCTAATTTTTTTTACGTAATTAAATTCGAACCGAATAAAATTTGATTCAAACTAATTAAAATTTATTTTTTTACATATTAAAATTTGTGTCAATTAAAAATTATATATTTTTTATGTATTAAAATTTTGGATATTTAAAATTTTGTTTGAACCAATTAAAAATTATTTTTAATCGACTCAAATCAAATTTTAATCAATTCACATTGAATTTTAATTAGCTCAAATTTTAATATATAAAAATATATGAATTTTAATTGACACGAATTTTAATAAGTAAAAAAATATAAATTTTAATCAACTCGAAAGAGAATTTTAATCGACTCTAACAACTCGGATAGAGTTCAAATAGGCTCAAATTTTAATATGTAAAAAATAAATTTTAATAGGTTCGAATTTTTATAAAAATTTACAAATTAGTAAATAAAAAATTAGTATTTACTAACAAATTATTTACTAAAATTGTTATTTATGAATTATTTTTAAAATTTTAATAGCTCGAATTTTAATAAAATTTTATGTAGAAAAATTACTTGAGGTTATGTAGGGGCATTTTTGATATTTTCGATGAATTGTTTTTGTTAGAAATGATAGTTTAATGATAGAGAGTGTTAGTGATGTTTAAATTAAACTAAAAAGGATGTCATTGAAGATTCAGAAATTAGAGGGGTGCCTTGAAGATATGATAAACTAGAGAGGGTGTGGTTGAAAATTTTGCATTATTTTTCTATCTACAATTGTGTTATTTGTATTTAACTTTAATTTGATTGCACAAACAAAATATTTGTGTCTGGCTGTAGACAGAAAAACTATTTAAAGAGCATTAATGAATGGATTTAGATCATAAATATAAAATATTTAAACTTTGAAAGGTATAATTTATAATTAGTCTATAAATTTTTTAACGGTAAAATAGATGAAATTAACATTAAGTGTATATTGATATGAATTTATAACTTTTAGGGTATAACTTAATATTTTTAAACTTGTAAATTAAAATTTGAGTAATCTTTCCACATACAAGTAAAGATTAGCCCAAAGTAAAATTATGAATTACGAAAAATAAATTGGTCTCATTTAATTTAACTTAAATAACGAGTTCAAATTCGAGATTAAGGTCGGTCTTGAAGACACGTGATTGTGTTGAATTGAAAAGAGAGAGCGAATTTGCTATTTAGTCCAAACATTTGAAGATTTTTCAGAGCTTGCCTGATTTTATTTTGTTCAGCCACTTTGTGTTCCACTATCCGGAGAAAATGATTCGCAGTGCCGGAGGAGTTCGTATGTGTTGCCTGCGCCTCCCGTACACGGCGGAGACGCTCCTCCTTAAACCGTCCGCACTGACTTTCCGCCGCCGGAGACCTTTCGCCACCTCCTGCTCCGCATCCGCTGCGGCGAAGAAAGATAAGAACGAGAAGGTCATTGTGGTATCCGGTCCCACCGGTGCCGGGAAAAGCAGGCTCGCTCTAGAGCTCGCGAAGCGGCTTAATGGAGAAATTATCAGTGCTGACTCTGTCCAGGTTTGGAGAGATTTCTCAGTTTATAGCGAAATCAGTGGTTGCTGTATTACTATTTCCTCTTAGTCTATGTTTGGTTATCCAGAAAACCGAATGTAATGAGAACAACGAAATGGAAAATCCGAAGACAAATTCAGTCGAAATTTAGCTAATAATAATAAATTAATAGCCTGATTCAGTTTATAGTTTCAAAGAATGTGGGTGTTCTGGAAAGTGGAACATGTTAACATCAAAATTTACGGTGTAAGGTGACATATCAACGACAATGAATTGATTTAGTATGTCTTGTGTTATAGGTGTACCAAGGGCTTGATGTCGGATCTGCTAAGCCCACTTTGAGCGAAAGACAGGTACATTGGAGCACAGGCGACTGACTGTTTAAAATTTAGTTGTTAATTCATACTTCTGACATCAATATATGATCTGTGGTCATATGTTTACTGCTCTTATGCTGTTTCATATATATTCTCTTGTATCTTCATATTATGTAAGCATGTTTTTAGTGTGTGGTTTCTCACATCTTTTGTCCGCTGAAGTAATGTTGTTCTGCTTATGGGAAAGAAGTTTAGTTGTGATTGCTCCTTGTTTAGCTGAGCTAAACACTTCCACCATGTCTGTAAAACCAAAGAGTTCCCAATGCCCTGAATGTCCCAAGGAGCAAGCAGCAGTGTCTGTGTCTTTAATCTGAGGATATCCAAGAAGGGACCTGAGTATCTGCTTGTTGGAAAAATAATGGCCTATCGAATTGTGACGTTGGAGTCTGAGATCATGGAGCATACTCGGATCAAAATGTTGGAACAAAAGCAATCAATGTGACATCTCTCTGTATGTGATGAAATGTTTAAAAATTGTGGTACTTCTCTCCTCACGAGTCCTGAATATAGTCCACTTTATGCTCATGAGTGCCTTGGAAATCAAGAAACCTTAAATCCAGTACAATGTTAATGTCTCACTGTACACCCAGAATACTTTCCTCTATACTTCTAACAACATGAGGCCATAGAACAATAAAGGACCAAATGTTTAGCAGATCTATGTGCTATTTTTCTCAAATGAAAAAAAATATTGGAGAGCCTTAGTCTTTTATTTTCCACGATTTGATTATTAATCAATGAAATGTGATTCTATAAAGAGTTTCAACCTACTAAGGCATTGACCTCAAGGGTACTGCAAAGATTAAACCACTTTTTGAGTAAATAGGTATTGGCGTATTGCTAAGGTAGGGATGGCACAAAGATGCAAATATATCTCTGCATGTGATGTTGTCCTAGGCTCAACCATTTTGAGGGGCCAAACTCTAGATTTTGGAAAGATGGAGAGATGCAAACTTTGACGGGAGATAGAGGAAAGTTCCATGCTTCTTATATTCTTAGCTTCTTTCGCTGACAGTAGACAAATGACGTTATCAATTGAATAAGATAATTTGCATTATGATGAAGATTTTATCAGCTCTGTAAATGAGTTTTGCTGTCTATTTTATTTTGGCTCGCCTAAATTTGTAAATAGAATATGACTTCCTGTTTTGTTAATTTTTGGCATGTTCATCGTGTTGTGTTAATTGTTCCATCCTTTTTGCAGGAAGTCCCTCACCATTTAATTGATATATTGCATCCCTCTGAAGGTATATTGCCTTCTTGACCATATTGTAGGAAGTAGGTACCTTAATGGTATTTTACTTTAAAATCTACTGCTGGAGCAAAATGCCTTTGGTCAATCTACTGTAGATACTGTACTAAACCATGGATCAGAGACGTTGAGCCTGTTATTTTTTGTGTTGTATGTCATGATAGGGGCACAAACAATGAATGAACATCTGAAACTTTCAAGCAACAAGACAGAGGCCTTGGGCCTTTTTCTAGTGATGCACAAGAGGTCAAATGCTTGCATGCTTTAATTTTAGATATACCTATCTTGCTTACCTTGTATGCTTATAGTACTTCTGGGTCATAGGGTCATTCTTTGGAGAGAAGTTTAATAAGTATCAATAGTTCCATGTCTGCAATAAAACCTTGACTTCTACCAATATCGTCCTTGATATTATGCAATATATTAATATCTTCAGGGAACTTACATAGCAATTAATAGGTACAAAATTTCATTGACATATCACAAGGAGAAGAAAACCATAAGATCGCAATTAGGGTTTATTATGGGCTTTTTAAAGGTTTTCTGAGGCGCTGTGTGTGTTGATTGCATCAGCCACTCTTCACAGATAATCAAAAATAAAAACCACATCTGCACAGAATTGTTCTGTTGCATCCATTTTTGTTCTATGAGTTAACAGTATTTTCAGAAATTGACTGTAAAATATTAGAATTTAACCAATTTTTAAGATTTCTTTCTCAAATTTTCATGCTTTACCAGTTGATGTAAAGCTTAAACATTCTGTTCACAATCAGAATATTCAGTCGGACAATTTTTTGAGGATGCAAGGCAAGCTACTAGAGATATTCTCAAAGCTGGGCATGTACCAATAGTTACTGGTGGGACTGGATTGTACTTACGATGGTATGTATCTGCATTTCCTTGTGATAGGGAAACTTCAATTATTTATGCAAGTAGTTGAAAAGGTAAGAGAAGTAACGGCTGGCTGAGGTGTGAAAGTAGTTAGAGTTGGCTGTATTTCCTGAGGCCACTCTCGTAAGTTCATAATCACTATTTTTTTTCTCGTGTGCCCATCCTTTTGTAATGGGTTATTGTTATTATTTGCGTCAATTCGGCACTTTCCACACTCTAAATATGAATTCTAGCATATATCAAGGCATACCATTTGTGTTGAATGATTTGGGGATTCCAGGTTATGAATCTGTCAGCTGCAAATTATATTCTGCATTTCCGAATCTAAGTGGAGAAGACCTAACCTTTTACCAGCTCTGGTTTTTGATCTTTCAAAGGAGATACCAAAACTTATTTCTCAGTTGATAGTAATTGAATTAGGTTCACATTTTTCTCAGATGTTTGAGAGTTTAACTCGCTTTGTATGGAAAACTGACGTTTAAAATGTTCTCCTAAAGGAATTATCACATGAAAGCTCTGACCTACAGGAACTGTGAATATATAAAATGTAAAACGATGTAAAGACTATCTGGATGGGCAAGGGTGTTGCATTGATGTTTCTAGAATGACTACCTAAAATCAAGTTACTTTCATGATAGATGGTAGCTGAAGTTTAATAGAGACAACCCTTTTTTTAAATCCAACACAAAGAGTTGTATGTGTGCATAAACTCTTCTAGTTATTTGCCCGTGATTGGATTGCCTTGTGTAGGTTATTAACTTAAAAACCAAATTTACTTGGCACATGAAGGCCTTAATTTCTTTCTCTATATGCAAGGTTCATATATGGGAAGCCAGATGTTCCAAAAGCCTCTCCAGAGATTACCTCTGAAGTTTATTTAGAGCTTGCAGAATTGCAGAGAAATGATGAGTGGGAGGCAGCTGTCCAGTTGGTGATCAAATCTGGTGATCCAAGTGCTCAGTTTTTGGCTGCCAATGATTGGTATCGTTTACGACGCAGGCTTGAAATCATCAAGGTCAGTTTTTGACGTTCTCTGGATAAATTGATGGTCTCTGACATCCCATCTCCTTCTGCCTTTATAAACTTGTATATATTGTGCAAACTATCTGCACCATGGATCTAAATTGTAACAATTATGCTTACTGGGGAAAAAATTAGAAATGAACTAAGGCAACATTGCTTTCCAAAATGGAGAATGCTTTAACTCAGACCTTGCATTCTCCAATGGCCCTTTCTTTTCGATTTACACCTGGGACTGGCTGTGGGCCCCTCTGCAACTACATAAGAAAAATGTTATATAATGGCCTTCTCAATTGTTGCTTTCTCCAAATGGTGAAGATAATCCAAAAGCAGTTTCAAGTAGGTATATCCATTTCTTATTGATGTTTGTTTCGAATTTGCAGTCTAGTGGATCACCTCCATCAGCATTTCAAGTACCATATGATCATTTTAGGGAACAGTCCGATTCACACACGGCAGAATGTTCTCTAGGCATCAAATCTTCTGCTGATGGAATTCAGGGGTGTAAATCAAAGGATTTGGACTATGAGTTCATTTGTTTTTTCCTTTCAAGCCAAAGACTGGATCTCTACAGATCAATTGATTTCCGGTGTGAAGATATGCTTTCAGGTAAACAATGTCATGGTACATATTTTTTTTCATCCCCCTTCCTCTTCTTTCTGTCCTTTAGAGATCACAATGATGGAAAAGTTAGCTCAAATAAAAAAAAGAAAAAACTAAAATGTTTCTCCTGTGTCTTAAATCATCCAGCCAATGTGTTGGATCTTTATGGTTTATAGTTGGATAATTCTTTGTTTTCGTGTTCCTGGTGTTATATTCTTATTTATGACCAATTTTGAATTATGCCCCTATCCTGTCAAAATTTCCTTATCATTTTGCATTTAATTATTTTAAGTTGCTTTTTTTCTACGCAAGACAGTAGCACCCATTTAACTAGGTTTTAAATAAGGATTCATTGTCAGTTCATGGGGGGACCAGCCTTTACTTCTTAAGGAACATGTCTTACTGCACTTCAAATATCATTCATCAGTTGTTTCAAACTTCATCATTATAGACTTAAGTCCAAATCAAACCTCATGTTTTAATTCTCAAATTTCCATGATCCTGATAAATTATTGGTATCGGTAGTACTGTACCAATCTCCATACTCTCACAATTAATACTTTCTATCTCAAATTCTCTCTGTATCACAGTTTTTGAATGCTGTACCCAATTTTGGATGTGGCTCATAAACTATGATATTTTGTTCTATCTCTGAATCGCAATCAATATGTTTTGTGGAAGTACAGAACTTTAATTTATGTGGAAAGAGTTTGTGGATATTGGTTGACTTTTATATTGAGTTATTTTGGATTTCTTAAGCCTGCTCATTTCCCAGTAGCTTATTCAAGAGCTTGGCATGATATGTTTACTTAGTTTCCTGTTAGATTTTTTCAAGGCTAAGTTTCAGGTTTTTTCTTCTACGTATTCTGTTGGCCAGTATGCACGACGGTAGAAAATGAGGTTTTGATTATCGTTGATAGTCTAATGTTCAGTTTGGGTAGTAACTTTAGTTCTGTTATCAACATCTAGTTGACTTTACATTGATAGTTGATATTAACAGTAGAAACTTGCGAATTTAGACTGTTTCGTATGTACTGATGGCTGTTGCTTTTAGGAGCTGATGGAATATTGTCAGAGGCAAGATGGCTTCTGGATCTAGGACTTCTGCCAAACACCAATTCTGCAACTCGAGCTATTGGTTACAGACAAGTATGTCTTGGACTTTTTATTGTTCCCTTCTGTGCATCATGTAGCCATCTATTTCATGATTTGCAGACTATAATTTGTGTATTTACTTTGTCCTTTTGCCCTAGTAGCCCTAGAATAGGGTAATGCTAACATTCATCTCCAAAAAATGAATGTCAATGATTTAGTGGTAGACTGTGCTTTTACTGCATTATTTACTCTTTTTCTGTTGCATATATTTGCAGTAGATACTAAATTCAGATAAACATGTGACATTGATGCATAAAACTCAATAAGTGAACAAGGAATCCTTGTGCCCAAAGCTATTGCAGTTTTTAGAAGTACCTTACTGGAATTTGTTAATGTCACCTTGCTCACAAGTGTATGCACAGGAATATTTGTAGCATGATCAATGTTCAACTTGTAAGAATGAAGGCAAGAAAACAATTTTTGCCTTGCATTTCATGTTGATATTTTGTTTTTGTGGTCATGTTGAAAGAATTCAAAGGTTCAGAAATATGGAGCAAGTCAGAGAGTCAGATACACGGTGCTTAGAATGGCTGGTATGTGTAGGAGTTTTCCCTGAGCAGTAATATGTAATCGGCATCGTTACTTTTGGATGTTGGTGAAATTTGTACCTCTGTCTGTAGAGTTTCTGATCAGAACACTGCTTCAGGATTACATAGAAGTATATTCATTGTCAATCTCAAAGCAGACGTATAGCAGTTTTCAATATGCAAGGGAGATATATGCTAGTTATGTTACTTTTCAATAAACAGGAGAATGCTATGTTTTTCGGTAAGCGGGAGAATGCTTTGTTACATGAACCAAATTGACACAATTGGAGTAGATTGGTTTTGAGACTAATGTGTAACTGTATGCAGTTTGATCCGCATTTCACGGTGACCTTGTTCTGTTTCTAAACAATCAACCTTGGAAGTAGAAAGTGGCAGAGGTTGACCAAATGGTACTCCTTGTCTTGTGTCTTGGTCAAAGGTTCAAGTACCCCCCCCCCAAAAAAAAAAAAAAAAAAAAAGGCAATTGAAATATGCGAGGCTGTGCAGTTCCTTGCTTACTAAAATATTAAAGAGTAGAGAGTGTATTGGAAGAAGATGGTATTGGAGAAAATTAGAGAGACCATGTTCCCCCTGCCATCTCGCTGTCCCACCCTCTTTTTCTACCCCTCCCCAATCACAGTAACACACAGAAAAGAGAAAGATAAATTTAACTTCCCAATAAAGGCACAAGATGGAACAGTAGTATTGTGGAACCCACCTATAAGGCCATAATACGAATTTCAACTGGAATTCTAGGAGGTATTATTTGTCCAGGTACCTGTATAGGTTATCATAATAGAAACGTTTATGGATAAAACTGGTGAGGCATAAGTGCAATATGTAAGATTTATGTGTGGTAAGAGAAGGATGGACGAAATTGGGATGAGCACATTGGGAGACTGCAATGTAGAATGAAATGGTAAAAATGTGACAGAAACTAATTAAGATGATCTGTATATGCGAGCGTAGACTGAAAAATTGAGACAGTCCACTTTGATGGAAATGCCAAAACTGACATGGGTTGGTACATAATGTACTGCCAGATTTGTTTGCTTAGAGTGATGTTGTACTTTAGCGACTAGATGTATCAAGTAGTTGGGTAAGTTTACTTAGCTGCATTCGATTACGAGATCTTACGTTAGGTTGTCTCTTGTAATCTAACTTCATGTGGAAAATCTTGTGTGAAATTTGTTTGTAACATGATTTTTAAGTGCCATCATCTTCCAGTCATTTCAAGAAACCTTTTTTTTTGAAATGTTCATTGAGGGAGCCACATGTACCTGTCATCCTCTTGATCTGTTTGAGATTCAATATTTGGTTTGGTTTAGTTTGGCTCGGTTTGTATCTAAGGAAAGGATATGAAAAGAGAATATGATTTCAAGTAGCTTAACTGCATTCCTTGTACAAATCTGTGTCTTTAGTGAGAATGCTTGTAAGGACTAATCTGCTATGTTTGTTAAATGGTGGTTTTCCCCAGGGAATTTGAATTTATATCACACGGTCTTCTTGTATTTTGATAGTTGTAGGATGTGTTTCAGGCCATGGAGTACCTACTGAAGTGTAGAGAGCAAGGGGGTTGGAGTTCTACGAGCGACTTTTATGCCTTCTTATCTGAATTTCAGAAAGCGTCTAGGTAATTTTGAGCATTTTTTGTATGATATATGTTACTGGTCCCATGTTTTATGATTGGGCTTTGTTGTGTTTAATGTGTAATTGTCAACTTTTATCATCAGCTGACGCCAAAAGTCTGTTTGGCAGAAAGCTTCACTCGACCTACAGTGAGATTTAAGGCTTGTTAACTAAGGCCGAAAGCCACTCCTTATTGTGAAAGATTATAGAGCACACTCAAAATACTCATCAAGTTGTTTATATGGTTTATATAAACCCACTTGTGAAAGGACTGTGAACTACCATTTCCTTTGTAATAATGCCTGTTAGTCATGAGAGTTTAGTTGATAATTCCTAGTTGGACCCAGGGCTATTAGTCCCAAAAGTGATGATTCATTTTCCAAATGCTGCTTATCGTATTGAAACAGTATCAAAAGTGGCTTTGCTATTGAACTATAGGTTCACGAGCCAATTGTTGAAATGCTAGTTCATTGACCTTGTCATAACCCAGTCTAAGCACACTGTAAGCCATAATCTAAATTCAAATCTCAGAATTGGCAATTTGATTAATAGCTCATCTCTTTCTTTGCCAACTGGGTACTCAGTTTCCACCAGGGCTTTGTGATGCTTTTCTCATGGAGTTATAACCCAGTGATTAATATCTTGTCGTGCAGAAACTTTGCAAAAAGGCAAATGACCTGGTTCCGTAATGAGCACATTTATCACTGGATAAATGCTTCCAGACCCTTGGTATGTCATTTTGGTTTCTTTGTGTGGCTGTGCATATCTGTCTTTTTGTGTCAGGGCAATTGTCCCATGAGTACACATGGTTTTTTGCATTGAGTCAGAACGAAACGACACGATGTTGCCGTGGATGTTCAAGACAAATGGTGCATGATTGCGACTGTTTTATTTTTGTTGCTTTATTAGCATTTTTTAAATTACTTGATGAAGCTTAATCCTAACAGTGAGGTTAGCTAGGCAAGACGAAAAAAAGGAGGCTGGCTAAGCATATTTGTAATGCCGACTTTTCTTGCTATATGTTAGATGTAGACTGCCAACCAGGCATTACCTCTCCTAGGCCTTTGGACGAGCATTATGAAGAGCACTCAACAGTCAACACCGATCTTGGCAATAATCTAAATAAACTAAGCATTTTAAGCCTCCAGTGAGGCATTGGCCTGAAAATCATTCATTTCACTGTGTCGAGGGCATTTTTCAATTGAAAGTGATTTTTGCAGAAGTCACTCAATGTAAGCTCCTGGGAGGCAGTACCATATGCTTACAGCAAAGTAGTTAATTACTTCCTCTTGGGTTTATCTTGGAATAGTGCAACTTTCGCAGGAAACAGTGCTCAGCTTCATATGTGACGCATACCATCAACAAGCTGGGAATTTGACGGTGCCTGAATCACTAACTATGAAGAAAGATATATCAAACACCCGAGAAGCTTCAGAACTAAAGGTTTATCGAACCAAAAATAGGTATGTATTTGGCTATGATGAACATGTGGCCATATTATTTATCTCAAAAGTGAAAAAGCTAAATTGATTCTTTGCATATGAAGGCAATTCATCAGGCGTGAAGATTGTTCAGATATTCTAGACTGGATAAGAAGAACCCAGGGGCAACCAGCTGAATCAATTTGTTAACTAGTGTCGAGCGGGCTCGGTTTTCAGATTGTGGAGTTCGGACGCCTGAAATTCTTTGATATACTTGTGAAGTTTAGCTTGAGTTTATTGCTTTGCATGTTAAGTTTGCATTATCCCTTAAAGCTTTCATTGAAGATGGAATTTGATTATTTTGTGTAGATCGCAGCCAAGGAAAGCCTTCGGCTAGTCATGTACTGAGCATTCATCTTCGGAATATCTGGTTCATTCCGGGTTATGTACTGAGGAAAAGCTGTTGAGCACGAGTGTACAAGTTGTGGGAGTTCAGGGATTAAGGCAGGCTGATGTTGAAATGAATATTTGTAAATTATAATTTTAACATCTTGTACTGGTCAAAACAAAAACATTGAAGGGTTTTTTCTCTTCTTTTTTTTAACGCCTTTATTTTATTTTTTTGTGTTTGGGTGGTGGGTTTTGGTACGAACGGGTAGAAATTTTTTTTTTTATTTTAATCAAACACATAAAAAATTTTAAATTTTTTTTCTACCATTTTTATGCTAAACAAACGAATTCTAGTAAAACTTGCTTAGTAAATTTATATTTGTGCTCATTACAAATTTCATCCTTCTTCTTTTTGAAGAAAAATAGGTGAATTGTATTTTGTACAGTGAAAAATTTATAAATTTTTATTTTGTATTTTTAAAGATTAAATTTTTTATATTGTATTTTTAATATATTAAAAGTGTTGTAATGTTGTTCTTTAGTTGTTTATTTTTTCAAAATTTCCCCCATTGTCAGTACAACGGAATAAGCATTAGAAGGTAATAAAAATGTTACATTGTAATATTTTTAATATGTTAAAGGTATAATGTAAAAAATTTTATTTTTTGGGGCATAAAATAAAAAATCATAAATCTTTCGGGATATAAAGTGAAATTCAAAAAAAGTTGAAAAAATCGCTAGTAAAGTTCACTTTCTCTATAAAGAAGACGGACTTCACAACTCTCGATTAATCACGTCTCTTTCTTCTTCCGTAGAATATTCACTTCTCTCTCTTTTTCTCTCCTCTCATTTTCTTCGCCTGAGCTTTCTCTCTCTAGAACATGAAGGCGGCGATGTTGAGATCCGTGCTCAGAAGAAGCTCCACCGCTTCATCGTCATCATCATCTTACATACTTCGCCGTGGATACGCATCGGAGTCCCATCCCGAAAGGAAGGTCGCCGTTTTGGGTGCTGCCGGAGGGATCGGACAGCCACTGGCTCTACTCATGAAGCTCAACCCTTTGGTTTCTAAGCTTTCCCTCTATGATATCGCCGGCACACCCGGTGTTGCTGCAGATGTCAGCCACATCAACACTAGATCTGAGGTAATCCCTTTCTTAAACCCTTCTGTTTTCCCCTTTGATACTGGCTGTAGTTCTATCTCTTGAATTTTGTTTTGGACTGTTTTAGTTTCATTCTGTTTATCTACTCATTTCTAGGATTTTTGACCTGTAACTGTTGGATTGCTCACCATTACGTATTTAAACTCCTGCCTGGTGTTTTCATTTGTTATATAGTGATCCTGTTGATCTTCATCTTCGAAGGTTTTTTGATCTCGTTATATTGGGTTGGTTTAACTCAATTCCTCATTTAGTGTGTTTTTTTTTTTTTTTTGTAGTAGTATTTTGATTTCTCTTCTGTTTTTTAGCTTAGTTCCTCATTGTAGTCTCTCTCTCTCTCTCTCTCTCTTATATTATGGTCAAACTCATTTGACTAAACTTGAGAGTGCTGTACAGATACTGCTTGTATGCACAAATGTATATAGGACTTCAATTCATTTTATTCACAAATCTATGTGCTTGTTAGGTAGCTGGGTACATGGGCGAAGACCAGCTCGGGCAAGCTCTAGAGGGATGTGATGTTGTCATCATTCCAGCTGGTGTGCCAAGAAAGCCTGGTATGACCCGTGATGATCTCTTCAACATCAATGCTGGCATTGTGAAGTCCCTTTGCACCGCAATTGCCAAGTATTGCCCTAATGTAAGTCCCTTTCTTTCTCGATCACTTTAGTTACAGGTTTTAGTGTAGTTTAGTATCTAGCAGCTTTTAATGATAATGCTAGATGTATTATCCTGATCAATTGGGTTTGTGATTTGTGTGGGAAAACAGGCACTTGTTAACATGATTAGCAACCCCGTGAACTCCACCGTCCCCATTGCTGCTGAGATCTTCAAGAAAGCAGGGACATATGATGAGAAGAAACTGTTTGGTGTAACCACTCTTGATGTGGTTAGAGCTAAGACTTTCTATGCTGGAAAGGCGAAGGTCAATGTTGCGGGTATGCTTATAACCCATTTTCTCGATTGGAACTCCTTGTCTTGTTTCTTGTTCAAGCGAATAGTTCCTGTTTTCTTATGTTTATTTCGTTCACTTGAATTATCTGTTTCTCTGTTCCAGGGGTCAATGTTCCTGTTGTTGGTGGACATGCTGGCATCACTATTCTTCCATTGTTTTCACAAGTACTACCTCAATTTCTTTATGATGATTTGTTCATCTTCTGACATTTGGTATTGTGGAAACTTATCATTTCATACCCTTTTTTGTGTCGATTTGTGTACTGAATTCTAATAGGCCACACCAAAAGCCAATTTGCCGGATGAAGACATTAAGGCTCTGACCAAACGGACACAAGATGGTGGTACGGAAGTAGTGGAAGCGAAGGCTGGAAAGGGTTCAGCCACACTATCAATGGCGTAAGTTTGAATTGTAGCATTTCATTTTCATTGATTCTTCACCACTCTGGTCAAAATTAAGTTTGGATGTCTTAATGGTGAGAGATACATTGATGTACTTTTTTGCTGGATGAGTTGGTTAGAATTGGATTTTGATACTTATTGGTGGTATGTTAAAAAGGAGTATGGACAGTTTAACAAGAGAGTTCTTATGCTAAGATCCAAAATTTCATTAAAAATGCCCACCTGAATTTGCTTTTCACTATTTAGCTTGGAGTTGAATTCTTAATATGTCCCATTAGAGGAGTTCATGTTTGGTGGCATTGCCTGGACCAGAAAATGTATTTGTAAGAGCATGAGAAATGTTTAACTGGACAAGTGCGAAAGTATGGTCACATAAGAGTTAAAGCTGGGTATATACTTTCATTTTACTTTAATATGTTTCAACTTTCTGACTCGTGGAATTAGATTAAGCATCTTATAGGCAGATCATAAAAGTGGTGGGTACCTTTGAAGCATGTTCAGTTGTCGTCGTTTCAACAACTAAGAAGTTGGTATTCATATCTGGATCCCCATGAAATTTTGTCAAATTTTTAGTTCTTTTGTATGTTTTATGCTTTTCTGGGAGCTGTTTGGTGGTTGTATGCATGTGGTGCAAAGTATTGTTGCATGGCCATTTCTTGGCATAAACTCAGAACTAGGCAACAATAATCAAGGATAGTGTACATGTGAAAGGGTGTGTGCTTTGCCCACTTTTCTTATCTTATACACCCCTCTTTCAATTATTACGTTATGTAAGTTGTATGTTTAAAAGTTACAGGTGCAAATGTTTTCGTACAATAGTTTCTGGCTAATCTTCTGTGTTCCTTGCAGCTATGCTGGGGCCATATTTGCTGATGCTTGCTTGAAAGGACTTAATGGTGTTCCAGATGTTGTAGAATGTTCATTTGTGCAGTCAAGTATCACTGAACTACCTTTCTTTGCATCTAAGGTAATGCACATCAACTTGACTATGATGCTTCTCTCAGAGGGTACTGTATGCGTACTCTTCTATCAATGACAATGGTAATATCGTGAGAAATGTTTGCGTAGTCGGTTGATCTTATGTATTTCTCTGAATATTGTGTTTGTCATTTGCGCATGTCTCATCTTTTTTTTCCCCCATAAGGTTTTGGTGTTTGAGTGTGAAAACATTAGCGAAGTTCAAAATGCTACAAGTGAAGCCATTGTATTTTTAAATGTCAGGAACTTCTCAAATATTGGTTGCAGTATCTGAAACCATTTTTCTCGATTCTCTTGAGAAATTGGTCTGTTAATCAATTTCGTTAGTCCAGGGTGTACATAGCATAAGCATTTATGTAATTATGTGTTATTAACATTAAATATTTTTGCTGGGATAATCTTGTCAATGATTCCCCAGTTGGAAATGTGATCCTTCCCGTCTAAAGAGGATTAAATCTAAAATCTATTGCTGGGTTAAAGAATACATAGTATGTAAAGTTCATCTAATTCCCATCATCACTGTGAATGGCATGAGGATGTAGCTGAAACTGTGCTTGGCTTATTGTAGTTGAGGTCCTTAAGTGCTTGATGACGTAGATTGCACGGGGTGCTTCTTATTTGCTTATGTCAAAATCCTTCATTAGAGGTTTCTGTTTCTGCATGTATCTCTGATGTGATATATATAGAAACACCAATGCATTGTTCGTATGGGCTGCCCAGGTGTCATGATTTTGATGATTGAATTTATTTATTTAATGGAGGGAAAATGGTTTTAATGAGTAAATTCACGTGTTTTGAACACTGATTTTATTGTTCTAAAGCCACACATATGAAAGTTGAAAATATGGATGATAAGGATTGCTGAAGACTGTTCTAAAGTGGTCACTGCATTCATGACTTGCAGGTGAAGCTGGGGAAGAATGGTGTGGAGGAAGTCTTTGGGTTGGGCCCGCTTTCAGATTTTGAAAAAGAAGGATTGGAAGCTCTCAAGCCCGAGCTGAAATCCTCTATTGAGAAGGGACTCAAGTTTGCAAACCAATGTTAACTGAAGTTTACAAGTCTATTGGGGGAAACTCTCTCCCCGTTACTAAGAACCCATCACAATTTTGCACTTTTACCACTGTTGTGGTGTTTTAGCTGCGTGTTATGCGGCCAGAGACATTGGGGTTTAGCTGTTTCCAGCAAAGTCAAGTTTAACAGGGTTTAAATACTTGTACTGATAATGCCAGCAGATTAGGTCTATCTGAGCCAAAATACTTTCGTTAATAATGTCGGTGAGGTTACCAAGCAATTCACCTATGAACAATCTATTGAAGTATGATGATTCTTTCCATCATGGTTGGCCTTTTAACCACATGATACATTGTCATCTGTGTACACACGCTATTGATGTGCTGGCATTGACCTATGTTACTTACCAGTGTAGTCTGCAAAACAGAAAGAACTTTGTTCATCCATGCAGATTGGTTTCTACTGCCTGTAATGAGGATGTATGTATGTCCAAGGACAAGTGCTTGCCCGTTAAAGCAATGCTTCCATTAAGTGGGTGTTTAGGGTAATTGGTATTGCTAGATTGTTTAATTTGTACAGGGATCTCTGGTTATAGGGCTGGGTGTTAATGGTAATTTGTATTGCTAGATTGTTTAATTTGTAGAGGGATTTCTGGTTATAGGGCTGATAATTGAGAACTCGAGTTGAGTCTATCGAATCAATTTTTTAAACAAGTCAAAAAAATTATTCAAGTTTGATTTGTTTAAAAAATGAGTCAAGTCTAAGCAAAGTCTAAAATGATCCGAGTAATTTAATTATTTATATATAAATTAGTTTTAACTTTGCCAACTTGAGTTGAATTTTTTAAATTTGTTATTTTAAACAAAACTAAAAAATTGTTCGAGTTTTGTTCGTGTAGCTTGAATCAAATTCTATACATGTCGAGCCCTAGTCTAAATAATTTAGTTCAATTATCAGTCTTACCTGATCATGTTGCTATAAGTGTAACATTAAAGTAGAGATTAACCATAAATTTAGCCATCTTGAGTTTAACTCTCACGGGTTAAAGATTTAACCCAGACTAGTAACGGACAAGTGATTTCAGGCATTCAAAGTCTAGGTTGAAAGAATGGACAAATGTTCCAGCTCGGACATGTTTCTCATTACCAAGAGAAAAAAAAAAAAAAGACAGCAAAATAGACTGCAGCAAAAACTGTACACACGACTGTTCCTTTTCCCCCAACAGCTATCTAACGTTATACAACATGCACCCCTACTATATCATAGCAAGCACCATATAAAATTACTGTCTCAAGCCAGATACTTGCAGAATCAAAAACCTCTATCGGTTGTACGCAATGGATGCCCTCTTTTATACTAGAAGATAACTATACTGCAATGACATGACTAAAACCTAGAACAAATTTCTCATAACTGAGATTGACACCAATTCTTTATAATTTACATTTGCTACATGAAGTCTCCCCACCACCCACCATAACTAAGATTCTCTCCAATATTCTTAAAAAGGAACCACCTTAAAAATTATAGACTGTGAAGTTCAAGTGAGTGTAACTCTCTGAACTCCAAGTCCATGCACCTTTCAAAATTTCAACAGAACACATTCTGTTCGGCAGCCAGACAATAATTCTTCTCCAACAATGCCCATCGTTTGCAGAACCAAAAGCATTCTCAACAATCGTTTATGTTTGTAAAGGAGTGTGGGCCACCATACAATCAAAAAACATATGCTGCAAAATTTAAAAATATATTAATTATTCACAGTCCAATCTACCATCCCTTAACAAAACATCTAAACAGCAAACATAGAAAAAGAAACATACAATGAGGCACTTATCAAAAACTGGAAAGAAACTGGCCTAAATGGAAAAGCCCAACGTAGAAAATAATCTTTTGAGTTCATATACCACTTCTAGTTATTTGGAATTCTTTCCCAATTAAACTCGAGCAATGTTTAGTATAAGTATATACATATCACCTTAGCATCACAACTCGCAAGATCTAGAATTTTTTTTTTTTTTTTTTGAGTAAGTCGAGAAATACATGTTAATAATAACAGAATCTAAACTTCTCAGAGACATGAAAGATCTCAGTTTCTTTTCTTCTACATTTCATTCCTCACCCGTTCTTATACAACTTACTTATCATCACCTGTCACGACCATCTTACCTTTACCTAGAGTATTTTAGCTATCCGCAACCTTGTATTAAATCTGCCAACTCCAAACAATTCAATACATTCAAAATTCCCTGAATACTCTACAAGATGGTTTACTGCTCTACTTCCTCAAATGTATCATATATTTTTTGGGAAAGATGATTCAAGTGACAACACAGACCCTTTAGAACTAAATGAGACGTATAGAAGAGAGCCCCCGCCAACCTAAAATTTCTCATCGTTCTGCACAAATATTACAAGAATCGTGGGTCGATCTGGCATGTGGTATATGTATGGGTACACGGTACGTTACATCTTCCAATACGCGGTGCGATAGGGTAGGCTTAGTTGGTATGCTATTTTGGGTTGTGGCTCATTTCCTATAGGTCGCTTTTTCTCTGTTAGATGAGATTATATATAATTGTACATTCATATACATATAGTTAACTAGTATTTATTTTGGGATTTGAGTTACAATTTGGTGGCAGGAGTTTAAGTGATCCCCATATCGCTAACCTATCCTGTTTCGGATCCTGATTCGTAGGACGTTAGATGTATCTACGATCTCCATATCTATGTTCTGCAGACATGCTCTGTGCATATTTCAACTTGGATGATCAACCAAACCACAAATAGTTCAGACAAGAATCCTGCCACGAGCATTGCATTCAAGCTCTTATTCCATAATTGTTGGCATCTGAGCTCTTGGTATCGTGAGCATCCAACTATTTAATCTCAATATTTATGAGCTCTCTACGGAAAGTGTGAAGCAAATTTTAAGTAATAATAGTCTTCCAAATACTACATCTTAGCAAAACAACAAATAAACGAAACCAAGATACTTATTCACAAAGGACTGAAATTAAGGCGAGGTGCTTGGCAAAACAGGACTGAATACGTCATAAGATGCTATGTTGTCTAAAAAAGGCAAATATGTGTCCAACGGGTATTGCTTTTATAGGCCAATATAGTCCATTAAAGCAACATTAACAGGTATAAGTATTGAATAATTAGGTAAACTGTCAATAGAATAAAAGAAGAAAGAAATTGAGAAATGCAAGAGGGATCTAACCACTGGTATTACAACAAAGATAAATCAGAACCAGGACTATAATGTTGTCAACTGGGTTAACTTGGTTCCTTCTAAATTGGAACGTCATTGAATCCATGATTAAACTTTTTGCATCCATCAATGCTCTCTCCAGACCAATTGGTTGGGTGAAGCAAATTCAAATGGTAGAAAAATATGGAACCATGGAAATAAATGAATGATCAGAATTAACCAAATATACATAGTAGGAAAAAAATCTGGTCAAATGCTTCCTTATAAATCTAATTTAAAAATGAATATACTAATTAGGCCTCATTCTACCCGAAAGATAGAAGAAGTCAATTAACAAATGAGATAGGTATCTTTCATTAAAAAAGCCATTCCTTCCCACAAAAACACTCCTGCAACTTATGAAAACCGAACAATACGGAAAAATATGTGAACATGACATGAATCCAAAAAGCAAATAACATATCGCAGGATAAATCAGTAAACAATTTTTCTGCATATGACTTGGGCAAAAGCGAGAAAACCAGGAGCACAATTTGAACTAAATTGCACTGCAGTTCTACCGCGGGGACTGGTATACTCCACATGAATGCTTTAAATCAGATAACAATATTCTATGCAAAATTGGTGATGAACAGGAGAATAACCTTCCAAATGTATGCTGTAAACTCTCTCTCTTTGCATCCCTTTCAAGATGATAGGCATGCTCATGGCAAAGAAAGCATAATTCAAAACTCCTACCATACTACCAAATGAGTCCATCAAACAACACATTCAAACATGAAAGAGTTTCATAAACAATTCAAAAGGAGCCAAAAACACAGAAATAGATGATGCAACCATAAAAAACTTCCTATTCCAGATTTTGACGAGACTAGCCTACATAACAAAGCAAGAGCCAGAAATAGATTAAACTTATTAGCATCCTACCTTTGGTCAAATCCATTCAAGTCCCAGGTGAATGCCCTGCATCTGATCCATATTCAGAGGAACTATCACTATCAGAATCTGCAATTAAATTATGAAAAAGTGAACCAGGGGATGTATTGACAAGATAACCTTGTTTACCAGAACTACAACTAATATATAAATTATGGTGTGATAATAAGCAGATAATAAAATTAAAATTTACCGCTTGTAGACGATCCAGAATCACTACTAGAACTGCTTGAACTACTAGATCTACTTGCATTCTGCCCTTGCTTCTCCCCTTCAGCAGGAGGGAAAGAAGAAACATTTGTTTGATCTGTTCAATTGACATAATTGATTACAACAGTGCAATATGATCAAACTGCCATTCAAAGCCGGCATACGAACCCAGGAAAAAATCCATAACCCTAAATTTCCAACCCACCTGTTTTCCTTTCTTTTGGTGCTTCCACAGCAACTGGATTCGGGTTCTGCAATTGTGATAACACAAACCATGCTCCTCAATGTAAAATCAGAAGGGCAAGACAGAAACATTTTACAATTCAAACTCTTACCGTCGATGGAATAATATGACCAGCTTCTGCTCTTGCTTGAAGGGCAATTTCAGCTTTCCGCTTGTTCTTGCTCAAGTTCTTCTTGTAATTGGTCACAAACCTATCAAGTTCCCAGAGTGTTTCTGCATCAACACTATCAATGTCCACTTCTATCTCATCATCATGCTGAGATAGCGCCGAATTCCTTTTCTTGATGATCTGAACTATAGCATCAAGCTTTTCAGAAGGCAAGCTCTGAAGGTTGGTGCTAAGCCTCTGCTTTTCGTCAAAAGTCATGTCTCTTTTATTGGGATCCTTAGCTTTAGGTTTCTTTGGAACAGGTGTCCTTCCAACAGGAGCAGAATTTGAAGGTTTCATCTTGGAATCAGCAGGGGCTATCATGGATTCTGATCGCTCCAAAGTCCTAATTAGAGAGGCAGGGGGATAAGCAGGAGGAGCCTTTCTGGAAAAGGGAGTGGGTAACCCAGAATCATGATACATTTGATACCTCCATTCAGGATTATATTCAGTCTCTGTAACTGCCCACCTCTCTTCAAAAATCTGTGACAACTGTTCTGCCATAACGTGTACATCTTGCCCTTTTGGATTATAGGTCATGGCATTGTGGAATGTAAGTCTCACATCCTCTGCGAACTCCCTTGGAGATTTGTACCAGTTCTGAGCTAGCCTAGTCTTAATTGTACCCAAATCCATTGGGCATTTAATAACATCATGATAATCATGCAACCCCAATGCCTTTGCATTCACTGGCTCATTAAACACCCAACCATGCTTGTGCTTCATTAACCTCTGAAGCAAATTGCTGCAAGCCCTAAACACTTGAGTCCTGTTCTTACCAACACCAAACCCATAATCCATCTCTCCTCTGTGCTTCTTCCCACCATTGGACTTCAACTTCTTGGCACTTTCTGGAGGTAACCGATCCTTCCCAAGAAGGAAATCTGAGTTCCGGTAATACTGATTAGCCTTTGGAGTCCTCTTCTCCTTCTCAACAAATTCCCCACCAACCCCAGGAGTCCGAGTGTTATCGCTAACTGAAACACTTAGCTGGCCAGAAGGCATGGAATCATGCTGTCCCAGAGGACCCACCTCCGAAGTTGCTCTCAATAATTCCCTTCTTTCTCTCAAACCATTTCTCGAATATTGGGATTGAATATAACCACCACCAACAACACTGCCATCAGTAGTAGTATTATACCCAGTAAGCTGAGCCTCCTTAGCTTCAAGCTTCTTGGCTAAACTCCTAACCTGATAAAGCTCGCAAATTAGCTTCCGCCTAAGCTCCCTAATCTCATTCTTTGGTCTCTCTTCTGCCCCCAAGTTGATCTTGACTCTATCATCAATCCTTGTAATCAAAGGCTTCACAAACCCGTTCACTGCCCCATTTCTGCCAGATGGCCCACGCTCATCCAGCACCACCGCTTGGGGTAGGCGATTGTGGCTCGAGGAATCATCAGACACCGCATCAGTTCGAGACTGCGTCGGCTGCCGCTGCCCAGCCGAATTCGCATCTTCTGTAGCTAACGTTTGCGAAGACCGTTGTGGAACCTTGTCGTTTTCGTTCTTGGTGTTGTTATTCTCGTTGTTATTATTGGTGTCGGTAACGGTGGTGGAGGGGGTAGCAGTGGCGGTGTTGGAGGGGATAGTAGTGGCTGAGGTGTTGTTCTTGAGGGTTTTGCGGTGGTGAATCTTCCGCGTATAAACTATTTGATTCTCACCCCACCTATTCTTCTCTCTCGAATTCGAATCGTTGGCGCCCAAGGTCCCCGACGCCATACATGTAACAACACCCACCAAAAATAAAGCCCTAATTTTTCGAAATCTTTTGTCAACAACCCCAGAAGTGCACTCAATCAACTTGATTTTGATCCAAGACTAGGGTTTCAAACATCGACGATTCAATAAATCTAAACCCTAGAGTATAGGGGTTCAAGAAGTTTAATCATTTACGGAAGTAGGGTTTTGGAGAGTGAAAGAGAAACGATCTGCAGGTAAAGAAGGGTAAAAAAAAAAAAAATTAAAAGAAAAATAGATAATTAGGGTTTTTGATTTTGGGAAAAAGAACAAACCCGAAAGAGCGACGCACCGACAGAGCAGGTTGGTAGTCGATCCGAATTCTTCTCTCTCTCTCCCTGTCCAGCTTTCTCTCTTTACTATTTGTGTCGAAGTTTACTCCGCAGATTCAAAACACGCGCTTGATTGCCGAATGATGTAAGGCGGTTGGAAGCCACGTTGGACTTTGATGACGTCATTCGTGAGCGTCAGTTTCAAACTGTGGCAGCATATCAATCGCTATACATGCCCGTGCGTTTCACGATATGTTCAGCATGAAGATAGAAACTAACTAGTTGGGTTTTAATTCCATCGGATTAATTCGGATTCAGTTTCAACTTAACCCGGAATAATTAGTACTTAACTAATGAATTTCGGACCGCGAGACAGGTTGGGAATAAAAAAATTTCTATATAATGTAAATTCGGATGTTACTCGAATTGGAGTGTTGGAATCTATTCTAATTAACGAATTTAAATTTAATTAGACTGTTTAATAAGTTCAAAGTTGAATATTAACAAAAATTCATAATCATTTAACTGTGTGTGGTTCATAACCAAAAAAAAGAGAAAAAAAGGCAAATGAAACTCAGAAGCGGTGACCATTAGACAAATCACTAACCTCGTTCAACCTGGGAGAACATAACCTTAAGAGACCTAAAATAGCCTTTCCCTGCCGGTTTATATTGCTCAATTGGAGTTCTAATCCATTTAACAGATACTAGCTTGAACCTAACTTCCAATTTTTTATGCACTTTCTTAACTATTCACACAATACCAACTTTATATTTTGTATAGAAACAAAAAAGCATTAATTTTTAATATACATGATTAGTAAATATAGGCATATATGTCAAAAATTACAATAAGCTTAAAAAAATTTATGATGCAAAGCTTTGTTATGCCGAAACCTAAATATTAAGTCAACAACACTTCCAAATGCCTGTTCTAATGATTCATTGGGTGGGATGGCGAAACGAATGAGGGATCAATTCTTTTATTATGATAAGTCATGGGCTAATCCTACAACTGGTTCCCAATTTTAAAGGAATTCTTGCGAAGATGGCGGATCCTATCGTAGGTGCCTCTACATGAGCTCCGGGAGGTTAATCCAAAACAGAGGAGGTTAATCCAAACATAGGTTTAAACAAAAAAGTTGATCCAATTCAATGCATTCCACTCGAGATTTTTAGGAAGGTCAACCTACAAACCAGCAGACAAAACTTAAGAATGCATATAATATCACTTTTACATTTCATGTTAGAAGCTTTGTGTGTGTGTGTGTGGGGGGGGGGGCTGAAGAAAAGAACTCATACTAATGAAGTCTGAAAATAATGGAGGGTTGACAAAATGTTTAAGGAAGCCATGTGCAGTTCACTAAATTCCATGAACTAGATGAGCTCCGGCATCAATGGGAGGAAGCATTAATATAAGTCACTCCAGGAAAGTATATGTGTATTTAATAACAGAGAAACATATTAGTCCGAGCTTCTAAATAACCTTCAAAGCAAATAAACCATTGAACATTTAACCTTTTTGATACTTACAGGCAATGGGCTTGAAACAAAAGACTTGCAAAACTTCATCTACTGTTTGGTTCTTCTCTCTTAGATCTTCAACAGTTCTCACTATAATTCTTTTCCTTGGCTCCTCCATTTACTTCTTTGTGCCCGTGAGGTGCTTCTGAGAACCACCCTTTTGGGCAGAGGAAATCCAATTTAGTGGCGATCTACGGGAGGCTAAATTCCCATGGAACAAGCTTTGTTTTGGACCAGCATTAGAACGGCTCAAGCTCGCTGTCTTCTCCAAGACATGGCCAGTTAGTGCAGCCCCTGGTGGCATGGAGAGACAAGCTTCAACTTTATACAATGCTCTTGCCGCAAGAGGGCATGAAATTCATGTTTTCACGGTGCCAGGAGACCTCACCAAGGCATCCATGAAGGCAACCGTCCATATCCACTTTGCAGCAAATGATCATGGCTCGGTTAATTGCTCTCTAGCATTTGATATATTCAATCAAGAAAACATAGCTGGTGCGTTTGATTATGTGCACAGTGAGAGTGTCTCACTGCCTTATTGGCGTGCAAGAACATTGCCAAAAGTGGCAGTAACTCCAAAAGTGGCAGTAACTCCTTATGCACTCCAAGTAATTCCAAGAGCTTCTTTCAAACCCAAATGGGGAATTTCCAGGACCCATGACTGAACTTCAAGAAGCAATGCTCCGATTCGTCGACGAGATTAGATTCTTCTCAAGCTATACCCAACATATATGCATAAGCAACAGTGCCGGTGAGGTTCTAGTCAACATCTACCAGCTGCCACAAAGGAATGTCCATGTCATTCTCAACGGAGTTGATGAGACAAAGTTTGTGTATGACCCAGAAGCCGGTGCGCAATTTCGTCGAAAACATGATGTGCCCTACAATGTCAGCCTAGTAATGGGAGTTGCAGGGAGGTTGGTCAGAGACAAAGGACACCCACTACTCTATGAAGCCTTCTCATCAATAACCAAGCACCATCCTGGTGTTTTTCTACTTGTAGCAGGTTCAGGTCCATGGGGAAGAAGGTATGCAGAACTAGGCCTAAATGTGAAAATTATAGGCGAATTGAATCCATCGGAGCTGGCTGAATTCTACAACGCCCTCAACGTGTTTGTGAACCCGACGCTGAGACCTCAAGCGCTTGATCTTACATTGATGGAACCAATGCATTGTGGGAAGCCAGTTCTGACCCCAAATTATCCGAGCATAACCGGAACAGCAGTTTTAAACTAATGCTCCGTTTTATGGGAAGGATGAAACGAAGGAAATGAGCTTTGATATATTTTTTATAGAAAATAGGAAGAATACACTTTCTTTCCTTTGTGTTTGGTTGGACGAATAGAAAATAAAAATAACTATTTTTTGTTTTTATGTCGGCTAAGATTAGGGGTGAAAATCGAATCGTGTCGTGTTAGATTAAGTCATTACGAGTTTGTGTCGAATATTAGTCAAACTTAACTTAACTCATTTAACTAATTATGTCGTATCGAGTGACGATTTGACCTGTTTATTTTCGTATAAAGTTCGAGTCGTGTCATCGTGTTGAATCATAAATTTTTATCCTTAGTTAAGATGGAAAAAATATATATATATATATATTTTTTAATTTTTTTATAATATTTTATATATATATATATATATATATATATATATATATATATACTTATTTTACCATTGTATTTTTATATGAAATTAATGTATACATAATATAAGTATAAATAAAAAGATATATAAATAAATAAGATACATCTCAACATAAATAATTAACTTTCCATCCACTTTCCTTCCAATTTTGAAGAAATTGATTTTGTGAGTTGGAAAGAAAGTTAATACATCTACTTTTTCATCTTACCTTATCAAATATGATGTTTTATTTATCTCTTTAACTTTTCATCCCTCTAACTTTTTATTCTCTCACTTTTTCCCGTACCAAATAGAAGATAAGTGTTTGGCTACACATTTTCGCCGAACGTGGAGTCTTTTGCTGAAGCCTTGGAATCTGCCATAAGAGATGGCCCAAAGGTGTTGCAGAAGAAAGGAATGGGCTGCCGGAAATATGCGGTTTCGATGTTCGCAGCTACTAAAATGGCGTTTGGCGTATGAGAGGTTCTTCCTCTGCATGAAGAACGCTAGATATTGTCGGTACCCTCTTCCCACAGACTGTTAAGGGCTCTTTTAAATTACCCTCAAGAGTAATGTTAGAAGTTGTAATGTTATTCGATTTACATCGGTGTATGAGTTGAAAAATCGATTCATGCGTTTAAGATTTATCATTGGTTCTATTTAAATTCAAACTTGAACGACATAAGCGTGTATACAAAAAATTTTCTTGTTAGTTGCATTTTTTAATGTTTCTTGAAGTTTTTTTGTTACAAGTAAAATTTTGTGTAGCAAAAATTATGTAAAATTTTGTGTAAAATTATTACATTTGTAGGACAATACTCCTTTGGAGGAGAAAATTTGTATCAATTTATTGGGCTTCCAGTTTTGATAGTAGTGGCCCAACAGGTTGACAAAGCCTACTTAGCTGGACATATGTTTGTTATTGAAGTATCTTGGTGGGCTATTTCATGGACCGGGCTTTAGGCCCTATATTCTCACAAAACTAAACACATTTCATGGGCCTAACCTTTGCTGGCTGGCTGCTTCACATAACATAGACACATGTACTTGTTGATGCAAATTTGGAAGTCACCTCCATGTCAAAAAGTTGGAGACCGGAGGAGGAACGCTAGGGGTTGATCCTATGATACTTAAGTCAGTATTTCGGAAGAGAAATTAGCAGTGACTATTGGGTGAGTATTGCACACCTCGTGTTTTTTTCTCGAGCTCTATTTATAGATGTCATGGTGAACTCTAACCTCCCTTATCCACTGTTGGAAGGAAAGATTCCTTCTAGGATTTGATTCTAGACTCTCCAGTTAGTTTGTTGGGAGGATAAGACTCATCTCAAGTGGGGAGTCTTTGACTCAATGTCTGAGTTTCCCAAGCGTTATGTTGCGAAGAAACTCTGCAGAGTCTTACCACCTTCTTTATTTACTATATTTGAATTTTTGGAATACTTTATAATTATATTTTGCATTGAGGATTTGTGCTTATGGGTGGGGGTAAATATTGCAGACTAGCGGATCTGATGATCGATAATTGTTTGGACTTGATAAAGGTTGTGGTGGCACCTGTAGTAGGACAAATGACTTATTGCAATGCTCGTAAACCAATTTATGATGTCTCTGTCATTGACGTTTGTCAAGCAAGCCACATGGATTGGTCAGGGTCTTCTTTAGGGGTGCGACTTAGGCGGGTTGGAGAGTTAACTCTAACCCAACTCTAAATATATAATATTCAACCCTAAACCTAACCCTAACTTACCTCGGGTTGAGAAATCCAACTCGAGCATTGCCCGAGTTTAATTCAGGTGGGCTCGAGTTGAATTCAGGTTAATGATTTTAGTCTGATTTCGGGTTACTTTACGAGTTCAATTTAGGTTGAGTTCGGGTAGAGTCCAAAATAGGTTTGTTGTTTTAAACCTAATGCATATATTACATAATATTCACATAAATTAACAACCAATAACTTCAACCAAGTTTTTAACGATGCTAATACTAGAACAAAAATGAAAATAAACGAGAAAGACAGAGAATGATTGAACAAAAATGAAAAATTAGTGCTAATACTTTATATATATGTGTAATTTTTTTTTAATTTGTCAGGTTCGGGTTGAACCCGTGAACCCGAGGCCTTAACCCAAGTCCAACCCAAATTAAATTCGGGTTAAAATTTTTTGACTCAAACTCAACCTAAGTATTAAAAATCTTTGCTCAAATCTTAATTTTTTCGGGTTGGACTCAAGTTGAAATCGGGTTACCTAACCCAAGTTGCACCCCTAGTCTTATTTGGCTAATGATACCTCAATCCCAAAGTCTTCGAAGTATATTTTTGATACGCACCTCTATTTGTATGGAAAATTCGTTGCAGATAGATCTTACCTAGTGTCCCCCTCCTTCCCTCATCACCTTTTGACCTACGGGAGTATACAATGACAACTTCTAGACACTCATGCCCGACCGTGAGACTCCTGTCGAACGTTCAATGGCACCAACTCTTTTGGCGCTAAATTGTTCCTTTTGACTAGGGATTCATTTGATTTTTGAATTACTTGTGATCTTATTTCTTGGTCCTTTATCAAGACTCAATCAACTGGGGCAAAATTGATTACCAAGCTTGGCCATGGCTCAAAGGTTTTCTTATCCTCGATAGAGGCTTAGAACTTTCTAAACGGTAAAGAGAGCCTCTTCAAGTGGTCCACATCTATTATCATGGACCTTTAAATTATTGAAAATCTTTTTCTTTATCTTTTTTCTCAACTCCTAATGCTAACATTCTTCAATTTCACACTAACATTATTTGGTATTCTCATTCCAATTTCTATCATCATCATCGCAAGTTACGAGTTTGAGGAGTATATTCAAGGGGGTGCAGCAAGCCCTCCCCCCAATGCTAGAAGTTTATGAGCTACTTTGGTAACTTTTATTTGGGATTGCTCATGTTAGGGCTTTTCCTAGAGTGTTTTTTCATTTAGCTCATTTTTTTTTTCATTAGTTGTCCCTAAATCAGTTTTGTCAAACGTGGTTGAGACGTGCACCTTATTTTGTGTGACTTCCTTGGGTGACAAAAGTAAAATCACATTAATAACCCATTTTCCCATAGAGATGGAAACGATCACTGAGCAAAATCTAGGATCATAAGGACATGAATAACACCTCTTTCAATAGAAAGGAATGCTCTTTCGAAATGATGACAAAAAAAAAAATTGTTGCATCTAAAAAAATATTTTGGTACATTATTGCCAAATTTTTTAAGTTTTGTATGTTGAGATACAAGTTTTTAAGTTTGTTTACAATTAAAATTTTTTTAATCTTTTGGGTTATGTAAAACTTTGAAGTTTTGAATTACAACTTTTTGGGATTAATTTATATCTTTTGTGGTAGTTTAAGATCGATCTTATTCTAAACTTCCATTAAAATTATAAATAATACCCAAAAATTGTAAAAAAAAATCCCACAAAATGTGTAATAATTGTACGGTATCAATTTCTTTTTACCATAAACTTCTCTTGTTGGTAACATCAAGTGGCGCAAATTGGGTGAGTCAAAAAGTATAAGCCACTTTCATGGTCTATATCAAAGGAATTTAAGAAAAAAAAAGGTAACGGAGGGGATTTAAATCTAGAATTTCCCATATTCAAACTGGTTAGACCGTGAAACACGGTGACACACTCGACATGGACAAGCACATATCAAAAGAAAGAACTGACTTGTAGATGCCTTAGTGGTGGATGGTGAATGATTACTTTGCAGCCATCAACATCACAATGAAAGAAGATCTCTATAAAAAACACAGAATGAGAGTGAAAGGGGGGAGTATTTGATAGCAATTGAGAAAGGGTTTGGTAAGCACTGACCTCATTGTTTTGTCACTCTATAATCATTGGTTTGTAACTAGATACATTCCTTTTGTAACTCTTAGAATTTCAATCTATTGCCCGATTTCCCTCAGCACCAAACACTGTTTTGGTACAACATTTATGGTTTTCATTAGTTGATAAACTTGTTTCCTACAAACACTGTTACAAAGAGAGAGGAAAATGACAAGATTTAAATTTACAATCTTAAATTTAAGATTCCAGTGATGATCATTAGATCAACGATTATCCTCATGGTTCTATTAATTGCTAAATAACTTGTTTCTTCCATTATTGTTGTTGTAGTTGTAGATCTACAATCAACTAGAGGGTCTTTATTATTTTCTTTCTGATAATGTATGTAGTATTGTATCAAGATTGGTATATCAAAGAAGCATTGATTTTTGTCGGAAAAAGTAATGTTGCGGTAGTTCATTTTAGGCGCACACTTATCGTTCTTTCTATGTATGAAAATAATTTTTGATACGACACGTTGGTATAATACTAATTTGAATATGAATAGTAAACATGTACTGCTAGGGTCAAAGCATCTATCATGAACGGTTGGATTAGTTAAAAGGTGGAACTATAGTTAATTAGTACTGACATAATCCACAAGATCAGATAAAACATCTCAATTACCAACCCATATGTGTGTGTGTGTGTGAATGACTCAAATAATACAGACACAATATAATTATCAATGTCTATACAACTGTGTGAGCTGGTAATTGTGGAGTCCAGGTTGGTTTGGGTGGTGGGGGCACCATAA